ATATATTTTAATTGAACATAAAAGGTATTTATTTTCTTATTTATTATTGTACGAACTATTTATTGAGAGTGGAGTATTATAATTACGTTTGTTACAAGAATATTTTGCATATACTATCATTATGTTATGTGGACTCAATATATGTTTATTATTACTACTTTCGTCCCAATATAATAGTTTTGTTTATCATTTTTGTCAGTTCCAAAACAATAATTTTATTTTCATAAATAATTATATCAACATAAAATTACTCATATTTTTTCATTCTTATTACACAATTACCAATATTTTTTATACTAATACACTCACAAGGACAAAAAAGTCTTTTATCTATAATATTTAATAACTACCAATATAATATCAATATTATTTAAATATCGTATCCAGCCAACTAAGAGTATAGTTATGGGGCGAGGAAGTATTACTCTCTCCGTCCCACATAATTTATCCATATTTTCTATTTTCGTCCGTCCCACGTAACTTGTCCTTTCTATTTTTTGAAATATAATTATGCACTTTAATCGCATTTTAAATTTTAAATTTTATAATTTTCTTAATTTTAATTAAATTATTTATTTATCTTAATCTATAATTATTTTTATTAAATAATAATTATTTTTATTAATACACTTCTTCATTATTTACTAATTATACTTTATCTAAATTTAAATGTCTACAGTAATATATCCATATTAAATGTGACATAGGGAGTATTTTTTATTACTATAGGGCAGGCGCCTATGTAATAGGGCGGGGGCCTATTACTTATCAATTGTAGACTTCACACGTGTCTCTTTATAGTCTGCGTGGCAGTATTTTAATTAATTCAGCTTTTGATAAATTAAACGTGGTAAATTTTTTTATTATATATATACATGTATATATATATATATTTGGCATAGAGATTATAACTTTTTGTATATTTATATTTTGCAAAAGTAAAATTGAAATTTCTAGGATGAGTAATATTTCGAGTTTGTTTGCCACAAATTGTATTTTAGACAAGATTTTAAATATATATATATTTAATTTTTTAAAAAAATTTAATATTCAATATAAAATATTATTTTTTATATTATCAACACAATTTTTTATATTTTAAATAAAAAATAACCTTAAATCAAAATACTAAACAAACAAATCCGAATAATTTGTTGAAAAAGAAAAAGGAAAAAAAACTCATTTTCATTGTCTGTTGTCATAAAAAATAGATCGGGTTTACTTATTATTTTTTTTTAAAAAAAAATCATTCATTTTAATTATATTTTTTTATCAATTTTGTCCGTTAAAATTATATTACTATTTTTATTTTGGTATCAGTCCGCTAAATTTATATCTATTTTATTATATCATAAATCATTTTATTTATTCATAAATTTATTTTAATAAATAATAATCAATTTGCTACTTATTTTTTTAACTTACCTCATCACCATTTTATCAATTGTTTAGTAAATTCTCATGCCATTCCTAAGTTATTATTATTATTTTTTATCTATCTCACTTTAATATTATCACCAGTGTTTTATAAATATATTAAATACAATGTAAATTTATTAAGTCAACACAGAAATTATTATACAATTGCCACAGTATTTTTTACACTTAAATCCAAATACATATTTATAAGAAAAAAAAAATACTTTTAACCAATTATCAATATAATATTAATATTTTTAAAATTTCGTCCCAAAAGTTACAAGACTATTTATTTGAGACGGATGGAATATTATTTTCAATTTAATACCAAAATATATACTCCCTCTTATCATTAATATATATATATGTCCATTTTTCTTATTTATGTGTCATAAAAAAAATACTTATTTCTTTTTTTTTTTTCGGAAAAAAATTATACTACTAATTTTATTTTTAACTATATTTTTCTTTTCTTTTCTTTTCTTTTTTTTTTTAATTTTTCTTACTATACAAAAGTAAAAAATACACATTATATTAAAATTCATGCTATGAGCATATTTTTATAAAATTGTACTCCCTCCGTCCCAAATATCATGTTCATGTTGCCGATGTTGCCGGTTCTGTACGTCCCACATACTATGTCACTTTCCTATTTTGAAAAATAATTATACACTTTAATTTCATTTAAAACTTTTTAATTTTATTTTTTTTAATTTTAATTAAACTAATTAGTTATCTTAATCTTAATTTATAATTATTTATATTATAGATAATTATTTTTACTAATACATTCTTAATTATTTACTAATTACACTCCTGTATCTACGGTGTAGCAGACATAGTATCTGAATGGAGGAAGTAATTTTTTTTACGATGAACATTGGAAAAAAAAAAAAAAAAGTAAACAAAGCCAAACAAATATAATGAATTATAATTTGGGTTGTTTTCATTTAAGAAATAAATAATCTTATATTAAAAAGTACTCATAGTTTGTTTATGTTTTGGTTTGAAAGAATATTTTTTATGTGAGGTATAAAAATTGTATAAATAATATAAAAATAATGAACTTGCAATATATTATTTTTTTTAAAAAAAATGTGTACATATTTTTTCGCAAATCAACAAAACCCTGATTGATTCTACATTTTTATTTTTTTTCTTCTTTATCATCCCCTAACCTTTATTTACAATAAACAATTTTATTCAACTACAACTTTTTTATCTCTATTTTAACCAATTTACTATTACTTTTTCTATTTACTCCATTATTTTATTATTAATTCTCTAATAAAAAGAGAGTTAACACTTCATTCATCACATACTACTATTTTTACCATTTTCTTTTATCCAACTTAAAATACCAATTTTCTAAATAAAAAAATAATTATACACTAATACTAAAATGTCATTGCTACAGTATTTCTACTCCAACAATAACTCTATTTTTCACCAATATTTTTCAAATATTCTATTTTTCTTATTATTTTAAACAACCTTTTATATTTATAATTTACAATAATTTTTTTAAAAATTTAGAAAAATAAAAAAAAATTAAAAACTAAAATGAAAAAATTCAAAAAATAAAAAAATATAAAAATAAGGCAACGCCAAAAAAATGGTGCAGGATTAAATCCACCAACCCAACCTCATTAATGATGTTCTGTTGAAGATGCTTTAATTTTTACATAAATTGCAAATATATCATTACTTAAATAACAAAATTATTAAAATATTTTACACTTTCATTAACTAATGAAATATTATCATTTAATCTACTATAAAATTAAAAAAAATAAATAAATAAAAAAATAAAGAAAACTCTTTGAATTGGACAGGGAGCAGATAAAACACCAAACTGAAACTAGGCAGCATGATCCACGCCCTAACTTATAAAGCACATTTATACGAAGACTAGTTTAATTTACCCTAAAGAAATTAGAGCTGACAAAAATTGACCCGACACAAAATAATTGAGATTGAATCAAAGATTTCAATTCGATTATATATACGAGTTGACACGAATCCAACACGATAATAAACGGGTCGAGTTAGGGTTGAAGCTCTCAACTCAAACACGACACGACAACTAGATGATAATATATTAATATTGATTAATATATTTATTATATATGTAAAATAATCATAATTTAATAATTTTCTCATAAATTAATTTAAACTTAAGTTCAATCTTAAATAATTCAACCTAATTTAGGCTCAAACTAATAAAAACTAACATAACACGACTAACACAATAAAAAATTATTTAATTTGAATAAAAAAATTCGACTTGATTATGTATACAACAGGTCAACACAGTCAACCCGAACCCGATACGATAATAAATGGGTCAACACAAACCCGACACGATAATAAACGAGTCAGATTATTCAACCTGACACAAACCTGATATGAATCAACTCATCAACTCTAAAAGAAATCAATAATTGCATCGCTGTCCCTGTCATATATTTATCTCACAAATATATTCTTATCTTACCACTTTCACTTGAAAACACAACCAACTAAACAAATAAAATACCTAAGCCCCTAGTCTTGAAGAAATTAGTGTGTGCTTTCTTTACTATGCAAAACATTTCAAATTCTTCTTAAAAATATATTATTTCTACAAAACATCACATCCATACCAAACCAGTTCTAAAAAAATAGGAAAAAATAAAATAAAATTCAAACTCCACAAAATTCTTTATAGTTTGAATTTGAAAATAGTAAAATTATAAATAAAATTGAAATTTGATGTTAAGATGTTAAGAGAAAAAAAGTTGGTAATTGTTTTTATATAATAATTTTATGAGAAAAAATTTAATAAATAGTATAAAACCAAATCGAGGCATCAAAGAAACAGGTCCTTCGACGTGGGATTGGAGTCGAGCTCCAATTACTCGTCATATTTTTCTCCCATTAAGACTATCAAATCAAAAATATTATTTTTATATTGTATCAAAATTTATGTTCTCCCACCATTCTCAAAAACCACATTCCATAAAATAAAATAAAAATTAATATATTGCACACATTCATTGTTTTTATACTACATTCGCCTCAAAACAATAGGGGCATTTGGAATGAGTACATGAATTAAGGAATAATAGTACTATATATTGATCGTTGTGTATGAATGTTTTTAAAAGATCAAAATGCCCATACCATACTTTATGTAATTAGTGTGAAAAAATATACTCCCTCCGTCCCATTGAAAGGTTGCCATTTTCCATTTTCGTCCGTCCCAAAACAAGGTTACCATTTTCTAATTTAGTAATTGTACTACCTATCTAACATAATAAATACCCTTCCAACTTACACTATATTACACAAATATCATTACTTTTATATTACACAATACTAATAGGAATATTTTCGTCCTTTTCACTACAAGCAATTATAATACTAATATTCAAAAATCTACGTGCAAAAAGCAAACGCCACCCTTATTCCGGGACGGAGGAAGAGATAATTTTGTAAAAAGATGATGAATTAGTTACTAAAATTGAAACAAAAATGGCAAAATGAAACTATTGTTTTGAGACGGAAGAACTATTACTTACACGATTCACTATACCTCATATAAAAAAATATCTTTTCAAACAATTTCACTAAACAAACACACCCATTATATTTCATCCAATACATCATATTAAAATTTATATCACATCAAATACTACACCAATTCAAATTTTCATTATTTTTCAACTCTAAACTCACCTCCCAATCCTAAGTTCAAACAAAACAAAAAAAATAAAGGAACAATATTCATACTCCTATATCCCAAATAATCTCCAAGAAAACAATTATAGGTGTTCAAGTATAATTATAATTAATAATAATAATATTATTATTATTCTAAATCATCAAATTTGATCTCATATTGCTGACCTGAAGAGAGAATTTTGACACCAACCATACCCTTTTGCCATTCTGCACTTCCCACTAGTATCAGCCTCTCGGCATTTATTTTTGCCGCTCTTTTGAATACCCTGTAAATTATCGACAAAAATTAAAAAAAGCCGTCAATTTGATGCAATTTTCTACATTCTATGTAAACAAAATAATGTACCACTTAAGTGGTTTTGTTTCCAAAACCAAGTCGACGGTTTGGTTCTTTTCTCTAAGCTTAGCAGCAACTGAACATGCTGCGCCTTGCAGATCCTGATCGAGGGAGCAGACGATGTTCTGTACCTGCGGGCTGAGATCTGGTAGAAGGCCCCTCTCCTTTAGAAGCTGTATATGAAATTACGAAAGGAAAATGACGGGTCGACATGAGTGAATTGGTAAAGATGAATCTACAAAGAAGGATGTGTAAAAGGTTCCACTTACTTCCACAATAACTGCATCGCCAAATCCAAAGCCACAGGCGGGGATATCTTCACCTCCGAAAGTAGAGAGTAATTTATCATATCTGCCACCACCGCAGATGGCTCTCAGCTTTCCTTCTCGATCAAATCCCTGATGTATTTGGTTAAAGGCAACTCACATTTGAGTAGTTTGGAACTCAAGGAACTAAATGATATTACGGCCGGTTTCTCGTTAGAATTGATGTCTTTTTTTTTAGGGAGTAATGAACTAAAGGCTTCAGGCATAGCCTTCCGGAAGAATTGTACTCCCTCCGTCCCGTTGAAGATGACCTCTTTTTCCTTTTTTTCAGTTCCATAAAAAAACGACTCATTTCTATTTTACTAAATTTATTCATTTCAAACATACTTAAAGAAACATAAATTAATGTAATTAAATTTCTAACTTCATACACTATGAACCACTCAAAACCTCTTTATTTCTATCTCTCTTATCAATAAACAGATATTTTTATCTATTTTAAAACTTCTCCATTTTTATAAAATTAATTTTAAGTTAATTATAAATAAATAAATATGTATTATATAAAATTTTATTATCTACAAAATGATATGCATAATGCATATATTTTATTGAGATATAACCAACAACACTATTCATATAAAAAATAATAAAATAATATCAAACTTATTATTAAGAACTTACTAATTTATACTACCTAAAATACCGTATCTCTAACCAAAAGGGTCATCCTGAGACGGAGGAAGTATTTATTATAAAACCTAACAGCAAATAAAATGTAAATTCAACATTAAAATCAGGTACAATGTAAATCTTAGGAGCAATGAACTTAGATAATGCTGGAGTATTTCTTTAATAAATCACTTGCAGCTTTGTGTATATATTCAATAGATGGTTTATTCAACTCGAAGAATCCAACTATCTAAGGCCTCTGCTTGTTTGTAGGTTTCTGACCTGGACTTTACTATTGACTCATTTTTTCTTTTTATATAACACTAAAAATTAATTTTACATTTAAAACATCACATCAACATCTATCAATATAGAATCAAACAATTATTCTAATTTAAAATTTTACTATTTCAAACCCTAAACCCAACTCCAAACCCACAAACAAAAACCTAATATGGATACAGTTCTTTTATTACTTATCTATAAATAATTGAGCGTGAAGAGACCAGTCTTCATTTAGATGGGAAACATAAGATGAGACATGAAATTACCTCAAAAACAATTCCAGTGTAGTAGGCTAAGCCGCGCACAATAGATGCATCAAATTGGATCCACTCAGAGTAGCCATATTTTTCAGCCAGTGAAAACAGTTGTTTCAGGTCAGCTATCGCCTCAACGGAATCCCCAAGCTTCTCTGCACAATTTATAATATATTAAGAAGACCAATAGTATTTAGGGATTTAAAAGAAAATGAAAACATATTTAATCCAAGCAGGATTGAAAAAATAACTTAAATGAACCTTGACATGTGCAATAATGAACGACTACATACATGTTTGTTTAGCATGAACCAACATGACCTCAAAGAAATTTAATCACGATGCATCCGTAAACAGGCTTCATATTCTGTTATAAATATGAATACATCAACTAACATTTAAAATATTCCAAACAGCACATGCAGCAAACTTCATTCCCAATGCGAGAACCTCTAAAATGCTAATGTGAGTAATAGGAAGTTACTCGTTTTCTTCAAGACCAAGTAGCAGAGAACCTCTAAAATGCGTATGAGAGTAATAGGGATACACATTATTTATTTATCTTTTACGGGAGTCTACGGGTGTCAACAACAGTTACAAAGCAACAACAATCTGAAGCAGAACTTCTGAGAGAGGAGTTTCAAGGCTAATATCAATTTTGTTTAAATCTTTGATTTTAGCAAGATGAATGGACCAGATAAATAAATTGTTATAGATGCCACAAAAAAAAAAAAAAAAAAAAAAAGAAAAAGAAAAGAAAAGAAAAGAAAAAGAAAAAAGTCAATCAGACTAACCTTCTAACTTCGTCAACGTTTTAATTGAAATGATCTCCAATAGCTCTTCAGCTGCTTCTTCAGACAATTCAGCAGACCTCAACTCTTTCTTGATCTCATCTAAGGGAATCTTTTCCAGCTGTTAAAATATTTTATTTTAATAAGAAACATAAAGGGAAAATCGACATTCGAGCACTAGTAACAAAAAGAAACATCTAAGTTATAAAATTCAGTTTAAGCTGACATAGCATCCCAATTTAAAAACATGTCAAACAAGACATACTATATTAGATAAGTTAATTCAAGCATCAGTAGAACTTACTCTACAGCAGACCCTCTTTCTCAATTTTTTTTTTCATTTTTTAAAAAAGCAAAACATTCTTCTCTTCTTCTCTTTTTCACTTTCTTCTGTTTTTAATACACTAGCTGCCCATTACATAAAGTATCATTATTCCAAACATAATTGTAGTTTTCAAAAAATTCCCTTACTTTCTATTCTCTTGATCCAAGAGACTAAACTTACAAAATGCAAGTATAGTCACAAACCTAAATGTAGCATAAGCCATAGACAAGACATGGTTGACAAATATTGATACAAATCACTAGCAAACTAACCTTGTCTATTATTACACAAACTCGGCCAAATAAGTTTTCCGGTATTGAATAGCGTCTCAATACTTCTTGCAAAACCTGTTAAATATAACAGTAACAATTAAAGGAATGCAATGTTATGTTATTGCACTTCCATCATAAAATACATGAGACAAGCAAGATAATGTTGGAAAACTCCATGTCCACCTCTGTTTTTTGAACCAAGAATCTATAATCAATTAAAACATAAACGAAAGCTCAAAGCTTTGAAGTATGACTAGTTTGACTTAACCAGGAATCAGCATCCACACTTGTGTTCATTGCCAACTGAGTGTTGTCTGATTTCAATAAATGCAAAAAGTTGACACCAAAATTTGGAAACTCAAAGTAAAAATTAAGCTTCAGTATATGTTTTAACAGTTATTGAGCTTCTACAATAATTACGAAACAGAGAAAGCCAAAAAGAATTACAACTGAGCTCAATCATTTTAAATGTCAGTCCATAACCGATAAACCTTCATACCTTTCTACTAGAAACTTTAAATCCAACATCCACAGCTGTAATGCCAATTCCCTTGAAAAAGCAGATAATGGATGAAAGCAACTCTGCCTCAGCCTGAAAGAATAGACAATAAGAGGTTCAATAGGAAAATTGATTCTGATCATGCAAAATACATAGTTTGGGTGTACTTATGCAACTATTTCACACAAAAAATTTCACATAGTGAACAATGAATAACTAGAGTTCATACATCCGGCTTTATTCACAGTTTGGAAGTTGCATTCGGAATTTCAATTTAGGTTCATAACTGTCCAGAGAAAACATGTATGGAAGCATAATAGTACAAAGGAGAACTTATAGTATACCTAACACAAAGTAAGTTTAAGGTTCAATAGAGCAATTAGGACAATCATGAGAAACATCAAAATGAAAATTATAGTAATATACATGGGAGCCCTAAGCTGCTGATAGAAACAGTGTGCTATATGACTATATTCAAACTTCAAAGGGTACTTGTTTATTAAGCGTGAAATGGATTTATAGAAGTAGTTCACTTACTGTAACATTAGGCACACCAATAATATCCATGTTCCATTGGTAGTGCTCACGACGCCGTCCTCTCGTCATTCGCTCATACCGCCAGCACTGTCCAATTGCAAACCATTTTAGTGGAAGGGATAGAGATTTTCTGAACAGAAAAAAACATGGAGATCAAAACTGGTGTCCGTACCTGGATAAGAATCATAAACAATTTATAAATAACTCATAGAGATAGCAAGTATTTGCACAAAGAAAACCTTGGGGTAACTAAACATGCATTATTATTGAATACAAAGGCACACACATATTTGAGTGGCATAAACATACCCTTTCTGTATCACTAGCCTTGCCAGAGAAGGTGTGAGTTCTGGCCTTAATGCCACTCTACGATTCCCTCGATCCTCAAAGCAATAAAGCTTCACCCATATAAGAAACAAGAAACATCATAAGCAATCTGGCAATCCTGTCATATTAAGATGTACAATACATTCTCTAGGGCATTGTCTCTATTGGAAGTAAAAAAAAATCTCTGTGGAGCTTAAAGTATTGGATATCAATTAAGGTGTGTTTGGTATAGTGAATGAAATTGCAGAGAAAAACAAAAAATTAATGTGGAAAATGTAAATTGATTCTTATTTTTAATAGAATAGAGAATTTAGCAGAAAAATTTAACGGAGGATCAATTATCATTAATTCAAACAATATATATAAGATACAATTAATAATTTAAAAATGCATTGTTTAAAAGAAAGTCCATTGTAAAATTCAACTATCAGTTTGCAGAACCATCAAATCATGACGGACGGGTAATGGCTACGCAGGAAAAGATTTAGGGGATAATAAATTGAAAAGGGTTCTGGGCAGAATGAAACATAGATAAGTATTTGTTTGATTGTTTGTTTTTTCATTTTTAAACTCTCACAAATTTAATATAGTTCAGAATTGAAAGTAGAATAGAGAATGAGAATAATTTATTCTCTATCTTCAATTCTCATGTCAAAACAAACAAGAAAAATGTATTTATTCCCATTTCTCTACTTCCATTTCACGAACCAAACATGGTTCATCCTTAAGGTGAAAAACTCTAATGATATCAACTTATGTAATATAAGTGCACCAATTTGTAACGTGTCAAGCTCCCCACAAGCATAATTTCGAAAGTACAATTCTGTCTGGTTACCTGTCAATCTGATAGCTCGATGCTCCAACATTCGAAGAAAATTTTCACTTTAAGCTAACAATTAAATGATGAACACAGCAAATTACCAACAAAATTCTAACTAAAAAAACAAGGCAAACCTGCTCCCTAATCTCCTCCCCAGCTTTTCTGATAAACAGAGCCTCTGACTCAAGCACTGGAAAGTCCACCTCTTCAAAGCCAAATGAAAGTGAAACCTAACACAACCAACAATCCACGAACACCTTGAGATTTCGAATTTTATATTTACAGATACATGATAAACATCTTTAAGCAAATCACATCACACAAAGAATTCATGATAGTGTATATATATTCCTGAAGCTTTAACCAAGAAAAAAAAAAATTCTATCGATTTTGACCTCACGGAAGTTCTGAAATAGCCAATTGCGGAGGCGCATTTCTTCGGGAGGGAAGTCTCGGGTTCCCTTGGGCGGATTGACATCTATTTTCTGCGCGGCGGCATCCGATTGAGGCGGAGGGGAAGCAAGCGAACCGGATCTACCAAGTCGAGTATTGCTGTCCACTTCGGCATATGAAGTCAGAGTGGACTCCGGTTTGAGTTTTACAAAAGAGGAAGACAAGAAAGGAAGGCCGTGGTGACGGAGACAGCGGAGGACGGCGGAGGGGCGGTGGTGGATAAGGAAAGAAGGGCTCGAAATTGCGCGCATGGTTCGAATGAAAGACCGACCGCAAAAAATTGAATAAATGCATTGGAGGTGTTTGGAGGGGTTTCTGTTTTAGTTCGGAGGATCATATTTCTTTGTTGTTTTTATATTTATACGATCTTCATTACATCATTAGTATTATAAAATATTAATGAAAATATTTTTATAATTTTTTTTCTTATTTATATAATAATTAATATTTAAAAATTAAAATACAAAAAATAAATATAACTTTTAGAAACTGAGGTAGTACTTGATTTGGCATGTGTTTGATAATTAGTTATTATGTGAATTATCGATTTGTATTAAATTATTTGATGAAATAACGATTTATTAGCTATTTATACACGTAAAATGATAATTAAAAATATTTTAAAATTTTTAAAAATATTTAGTTTTGTTTTTTATTATATAGAATTTTCTAAAATTTGTATTATTAAATATTGAAAATTATGAAAATTTTATTAAATATTTTTTTAAATATTTTATAGAAAATTTGTATATATATTTTTTATTAAATTACTTTTTAATTAATTTTTATATTATTTGTAATTTTAAATCAATTTATTCTAATATATTTATCAGTAATAAAAAAAATTATGTGACAAACAATATATAGTATATATAAATAAATTTATAAAAGTTAATTCAAAATATATATTAACATAAGTAATAAATATTGCGGCGGAAAAATATATTAATAAGTGCAAAAGAAATGATTTATTTGTAAGGTCAAGTAATGAAAAATAAAAAATAAAATGAAACACTCATTGTGAAATGAGATGCACAATATTTTAGAAATTAGCTTTTTAGGTTAATAAGTTATTTCAAAAAATTAATTTTTCAAATCGTGAAATTAACTTTTTGACGGATCAATTAACAAAATCTATTCAATAAAAGTTCTTCAAAAAATTATTTTTCAAACATCCCTTAATATGTTTTGGAAGAAAATAAGTATATTTAATGTGATTTTTTTAAATAATGAACGATACCAAATAAAAAAAAATGTAATATAAACAAAAAAAATTTTAAAAAAATTAGAGGTTACATTCTATATTTGAAATTCTCCAAACATACATAGAAAAAAATTATTTTTTTAATCATATGCTAAATTAAAATACTTAATTTTGGTTCAATTAAAAATTTGTGATCAATTTTGATACATTAAAACTATAATTAACTTTTTAATTGATCAAATAATTCAAAAAAGTTAATTACCAAACAATCTCCCATTTTTATTTTTTCTCTTTTTATGTTAAAATTACCCAAAAACCAAATTAAAAGGAAGACTTTCCGACTTATGAATTAATTCGCATCAAGGAATTTTCCGTGCAATACAAAGCTCCGGCAACGGATTCATGATTATTGCGCCAAGGAGGCTAAAGGTTTTGTTGAAGTCGAAAAATCACATATTTTATTATTTTGAACACAATTAATGGTTACAATATGTATTTTAACGTATTAAGGTTGCAGATCTTATGTTGATTCGTTCGAGTCAGAATTGTGATGATTTGACCACGGTCAACATATGCTATATGGGTAATAAAGTTGACAAAATTAGGCACGATTCGAAAATTCAATCCGAAATTAGCACGAAAAAATCGTGCTTGGGCATAAAAAAAAAAAAAAAAAAAAAAATTCAAAAATTTTCAGGACGTGCAGGGCCTGGTTTAGACATGTTTGTTTGAGTTTTCATTTCTAATTCGAGAATATTGGTTAAGCCTTTTCATCAGTGTTTAAGCTCTGGTTCACGACTATATTATGAATATAACCGTATTTAAAACGATATTCTAAACACAACTATAACCATGCTCACATTTAACGCCATTTTTGAACAGTCGTATTTGTATCTCTATCCATTTCATGTTGATGTTCACGACATGTTCTAAACATAATCATGTCACCACACATTCTAGAGTATGTTTTTTTTTTCTATTCGCATTATTTAATATATATATATATAATTCATCTAAAATATGTTTTTATAATTATTTAAAAATATAAAAATATATAAACATTAAATATTTTAAAAAATATTTATTATATGTACTTTAAACTTTCTTAGTAAAATAATTTTAAAACTAAGATTGTAATTAAAATGAAGGTTTGATTTAAATTCAACCATGTTGTGATCCGTTCTGGATCCGAATACGGTGAATTTAGCTTCAAATAAATTTGATTCATTGACTACATATTGTAACACTTAGGTTGTAATAATATTACAATGGTCAACTGTATTATAACAACAACAATAACATACTAAGTATATTATTACCGATACTCATCAAATTTTATTACAATCGGCTCTCACAGATCGACAAAATCATTATTATAAACACGCAAACTCATAGTTCATGTATATATCTTCGATTTTTTGTTCGAACTACTTACACGGCTTATAACATTGGCAAGTGGGTAACCCGCCGCGGCCATAGAAAGTGACCTCGCATTTTCCTAAATCGTAATTGTCTTTCTTGCAAGCTGCGTCGCAATGGTCTTGATTACATGGAATTACCCTGTAAAGTCGGCTCCTCTCCGAGCATGTCTTTCCATTTACCTCGGCTGGCATTGTCATCATTGTCGTTTATGTTAGAAATAAAATAATATATTTCAATAAATTATTTTTTGATATCGAAATTTATTTTTCAATAATTATATGCTATTCTTGTGATATAAAATTTTTTCAACAGTTTTCTCTGTGAAAAAAAAAATAAAAAATAAATCATCATTTTTCTTATGGATATCCATATTGCGAAGGCTCCCTTATTTATATTTTCAACATCCTTTTAAATATTCATTAAAAACAAAAAAAGAAAAACTAATTTTTTTTTTATAGTCTATTTATTTGTTTTTTTTTAATTAAAATATTGTATAAACATAATTGTTATCCAGGTTTTTATAATTATAAATATAATTTAAAATATCAAAAACCTCCTAATTATATTTGTGAAAAAAAAAAAAAAACTTACCACACAAAGCAAGATAAGGAAGAAAAATAAAATAAGATTTGAAAATTTGAGCACCATAAATAATGATAATAATAATAATAATAATATGAAAATTACTATTATAAGAATAGAATGTATGTCATGTCTTTCTCTATTATCTTTTATAGTTAAATTGAAAAGTATTTTTATTGTAATATATTATTGTATTATTATATAAGATTACAATAATATGATTTTTTTTTTATGACATGGGAACTCGCAGATACAATTGTAATATGAAAAAAAAAATTGCATATATATGGTTTCAATAATAATTTTGTAATACAATTGTTGTAATAATAATAATAATAATATGCATATATATGATAATAAATTCATTTAATTCATTGTAAAATATATCTATTGAAATAAGTGTATATTACTGTATGACAACTGAATAGGAAAATATATAAATATGCACAAAGATATATTATATATTAGCAAGTTTAAAGAAAAATCAATATGTTAATAATTTAAAATATATTATCAACTACTATCAACAAAAATAAATCCAACATATAAATCAAACCTAAATATTTGTATCTTTATACATGTCTAACATTAATATATTTTCTCCCTATCCATATCCCAAATTTTGGAGTAATTGATAATATATATATATATATGGGTAAACTGTTTTTTTTAGTCCCGTAACTGAACCCCTTATCATTTTAGTCCCGTAAGTGGAGTCTGTCACAAACTAGTCCCATAAGTGAAAATTTTTCACTGTTTTAATCCTCCAGTGCCGGAGATGCCCGCGTGGCTCGCCGGAGGTGACGTGTCCGCCAAGTGTCGCTGACCTGGCAGACAAGTGGATTTTTTATATATTTTTTTTCATTTTTTAAAACTTATTTTAATTTATTTTTAATTTTATTTGTATTTTTTTATTTTTTTATTTGGTCCAATTAAAAAAAATTTAAAAAAATAAAAAAAAATGAAAAATAAAATAAAATAAATCTTCTTGTCCGCCAGGTGTCGCTGACCTGGCTGGACACCTGGCGGACACGTCACCTCCGACGAGCCACGCGGGTGTCTCCGGCGCCGGAGGACTAAAAGAGCGAAAATTTTTCACTTATGGAACTACTTTGCGACAGGCTCCACTTACAGGACTAAAATAATAAAGGGGTCCAATTACGGGACTAAAAATCAGTTTACCCTATATATATGTTTTATTATTATTATTTGTATTGTAATATTAATTAAAATAGATCTACAACACAAATTAAAGTAAATCAAATTAAACTAAGCTAAAATAAACATAAAAAAACATTTATCTTAACATAATTTTCATAACTAAAAAACAAAACGTACGTATTCATATTCATATTACAGCAAATAACTATCTAAAATATTAAGCTCCAGATAAGCTTAATATCTTATTTCAGCAAACACTCGTATTTATTTTTCTATATATCGAGCTATAATACAAACATTTTACTATTCATACTACGATTATGGATTAACGACATTTTGTTGATAAGCCAGCGCTTCTTGAGTAGAACGACAACAATTGCGACAACGACCGTAATAATAACCTCCGCAACAACCCCAATAGCACTGGCCGCCACCCCATCCACCGCCTCCACGACCACCCCAACCACCGCCTCCACGACCGCCCCATCCACCACCTTGACCACCCCACCCGCCCTGACCACCCCATCCACCACCTTGACCACCCCACCCGCCCTGACCACCCCATCCATTACCGCCGCTATATTTGGCATCATATTCGCTGCCATACGATGTCTTTTCTCCAGCAACATTTCTTACTTCATATGTATCATAAAAAAACAATATTTTAACATTATATATATATTTAAGGTAAATAAGCACGTGACGTGCAAAGATAGCCATATATCAATTTAAAACATTTAGGCTATGTTCTTTTAACAAAAATTTTCTAGAAAAATTAATATATTACGTATATTTTTTTATTTTTATATTATCTACATAATTTTTCATATCTTATGTAAAAAAAATATATATCAGAACACAAAACAAACACACTCTTACAAGATTACGAATTCATTAAATACTAACTGTTTATTTCGTTCTGAGCGTCTGCATCATTCGCAATTACAAGTGAAACGACGAAAAGAGCCACGAGGGCAGTGAGGAAAATAAAAGCTATGGACTTCATTTTCTTGCAAAAGAGGAATGTCTTATGTGCGAGAATACGTGAAAATTTAAGGTTATCGACACTACTATTTATACGCTAGAAAACAGTTGTAGATAAGTATAGGTGGAATCAGCGAAAATTAAAAGAGTTAGTAATATTATATAATTGATAAATATTGATTTAGTTGTAGTTTAAAATTGATTTGAAATAAAATATTTTAATTTATTTTTTTTAAATAATATTTTAATGTACCCAATAATATATATATATATATATATATTTTTATTAAAAACGGTACGAAAGGAATAGGTTTCATTTGGTTTAGTAAAAATCCTATAATTAGAAATTTTTGTTGCAAGAGCGTTGACCTTTGCCTCATTAATGCAATGTAGTTTATGGTTTCTAGTTGCTCGTTCTAATTATTTTTATTATTGTTATCGATAGTGATAAGATAATAGCGAAATGGCGAAAACTATTTTAAAGGTAAAATAATTTTTATATTGATTTCGTTTTCTTATTTAATAATTTGGGTAAAATGTTTTTTTTAGTCCCGTAACTGGACAATTTTGTTATTTTAGTCTCGTAAGTGGAGCCTGACGCAAACTAGTTTCATAAGTGAAAAACTTTCGTTGTTTTAATCCTCCGGCGTCGGAGACGCCCGCGTGGCTCACCGGAGGCTACATGTATCCGCCTGGTTAGCGACACCTGGCGAACACGTGGATTTTATTATTATTTTATTTTTGTTTTTTTTTTAAAAAAATTGATTTTTAATTTTATTTGTCTTTTTTAATTTTTTTATTTCGTCCAATTGAAATTTTTTTTTTTTATAAAAAATATAAAATAAAATAAAATTCACGTGTCTGGCAGGTGTCGCTGACCTGGCGGACACGTGGCTTCCGGCAAGCCACGCGGGGGTCTCCGGCGCCAGAGGACTAAAACAACAAAAAATTTTCACATATGAAACTAGTTTTCGACAGGCTCCGTATGGGGTCCGGGACTAAAAAAACAGTTTATCCTAATAATTTTAATGTTAATTGTATTATTTTTTAAAATTAATATATATATATATTACTTTTCCCATTAGGTTAGATCAAGATTGACATGGAATCGATGGAATTGAATCTAAAAAAATATTAAAAACTAGGGTAAACTGTTTTTTTGTGCCGTAACTGACCCCCTTATCATTTTAGTCTCGTAAGTGGAGCCTGTCGCAAATTAGTCTCATAAGTGAAAAAATTTTGCTGTTTTAGTCCTCCGACGCTGGAGACGCCCGCGTGGCTCGCCGGATGTGACGTGTCCACTTGGTGTCCCGCCAGGTCAGCGACACCTGACAGATACGTAGATTTATTTTTTTAAAAAATTTTTTTTAATTTTTTTATAATTGGACCAAATAAATAAATAAATAAATAATTTAAAAATAATTTTTAAAAAAAATTTAAAAAAATGAAAAAAAAAAAAAAATCCACGTGTCCGCCAGGTCAGCGACACTTGGCGGACACGTCACCTCCGGCGAGCCACGTGGGCGTCTCCGGCGCCGGAAGACTAAAACAGCGAAAAATTTTCACTTATGGGACTAGTTTGCGACAAGCTCCACTTACAGGACTAAAATGATAAGGGGGTCAAGTTATGGACTAAAAATACAGTTTACCCTAAAAACTAATTTGGTTTTGGTCTTGTTTTTTCTTATCCATTTTTCTTATTCATTTATAATACTCCCTACATCAACTTAATAAATTTACATTTATCTTTTGCGTCATTGTATTTAACATTAAAAATATATTTATATTTGTATAGTTTTTTATATAAATATCATTATATTTGTATTATAAGACACTAATAAATATATTTTTGTCATTTTCTCTTGATTTATACTAAATTTTGATATGATAATTAATATTTAAAGATCAGCATGCAAAAAGCAAATGTCAACCTTCTAAGTGGACGGAGGGCTTATTTTATTTTTCTCAAAATGTTAAATATTTTTTTGTTTAATATATTACATTAAAAAAAAAACTTTTATTCAAACATCTCATTAAATATATAGGGTGTGATTGTTTTATCAAATTATTTGAAGAAATATTTTTTCACGTCAAGTATAGAAAATTGTGTATGTAATATAAAAATAATAAATGTGTTTATAATGTTATAAAAAATGTGTGTATTGTATATATATTTTTTTGGAAATATGTATGTTTTTTTTTTGCAAAAAGAACACACTCATATATTTATATTAAATCATATAAATCCTAACATTTTGAAAAATTACTATTAAAAAACACCAAAATAATTGTTTTTTTTTTCTTTTATTTGGTTTTGAGTTTTAGAATTGAGTATTTATTTAAATAAGTAGTATATTTTTATTGATTTTGAAGAATTGTATAGTAGAAAAGAAATAAAATGCAAAATTACATGTAAATAGTAATGTAAATGACAAGTATGGTTTGTATATTAAATCCACATTAACATTATTCAATCCACAAGATTCTCTATAAAAATAAAAAATAAATAAATAAAAATTATTTTTTAAAGAACATCATATATATATATATACTATTTAAATCAAACTTACAAACTTATAATAAAATCAATCAAACCGAAAATATATCACCTTTAAAATTATATGATTAAAATTTATTATTATTATTGTTTTATATATTATACTATTCATTATAATAAAAATTAATTATATTTTTGTAATAAAAAATACTATATTTTTTCTTTTCACTAAATATTTACAATAATAAAAACTCATTCAAAAAAAATCGCAATTTTCCTTAATATTTTATTATTTTTCCATTTTTCAATAGTTAACAACAAAAATTTCATTGCTTTTAAAATACTAATAAACAATTATATTTAGTTTTTAAGATGAAATCATTTTTAATATAATATTTGAAAATAAAACTAAGTATTTAATATAATAATTTATTTAAAATTTTTAGAAGTTAAATAAGAAAATAATCACAAGCATACATAAACCTATATATTATTTTCACATTATAGATTTTTTTTTGTTATTAATAAAAATATATTATTTATTTTTATAAAATACATATTAAAATATAAAAAAAAAATCAATTTAAACAAACATCAAACAAACCATAATGTATGTTTAAGATTGTTTACAATTTTTAATTTATATATATTTTTTATTTTATTTTTTATTTTTTACCACATATTAGAAGACCTCTAACATGTATCCCCCATCAACCGTGTATGTTGGAGTTTGGATTTTAAGTTGAGATTTGAATAATAAAAATTTTAAATTTAAATAATTGTATGATATGATATAAATAGGTGTTGATGTGATGTTTTGAATGTAAAATTGATTTTTAGTATAATATAAAAAATAAAAAATAAGTGTTTTGATTTGATTTTTTTTTTTTTGGAGGGGGGAAATGGATAAATAGTGGATTGAAAATCCAATCCCCAAACAAACACATCCTAAAAGTACTTTATTATTATTATTGTTATTATTATTTTTATTTAAAAGTATCAATTTCTTATTATAGTAAAATAATATTAAAATATCATCTAATTTTTACATAAATTATAAATATATAATTAATTTATACATAAAGTATAAAAAGATAACAATGTCAAAATTATTTTGCACATTTTTAATAATTAATAAAATAATATTATTTTTAAATCTTTACAAAATTTCAAAAGGATACATTCGAGTGGAATGCAAAAAGTAATATATATATATATTTAATAATAACCATTTACTTCATAAATAGTTTAAACAAACATATGTATAATTTAAAACAATACGTTGATTATATTTATGTAATTATATTTAACATTAAAAATATTCTTATATTTATATAATTTTTGTACAAGTATCATTATATTAATATTATAAGACATTAATATAAGTATTATTCAATTTTTTTCCCTTAATTTGCACTATGTTTAAGTATAATAATTAATATTCAAATATCAACACGCATAAATTATTAAAACTTTACATATTAAATAGAAGAAAAGTTCATTTAAAGTATAAATCAAACAAATTTTTTTTCGTCAATAAATATACATTATTTTTTCATAAAATATAATATTGAAATACTTTTTATATTAAAATAAAAACTAATAAGGGTGTGTTTGTTTTGTTTTTTGATTTGAAGAGTTTTTTTTTTTTTTTTTTTTAATGTGAGATATTAATAATTGTATAGATAATGTAAAAATAATAAATACATGTAATATATTAATTTTTTTAAAAAATATATTAAAAAAATTAATGTAAACACTATTCGATAAATTTGTTAATTATAAGTCAAATTCATGTTTATTTTTGGTAAGTATATGAATTTCTATTTTTAGAGCATAATGTAGATTAGTGCAAAATGGAGATTGTACATCTTCAACCGGGGAGGGTATGTTATTTTGTAGATTTTTATTATTTATCCAATTTTTTTTTTAAAAAAAATATTAAATTAAATATCTAATTTTTAGTATACTAAAAAATAAATTTTATGTTAATACCTGTTTATATAACATTATACAATTATTTTAATTTAAAATTTTTATTATTTAAATTTTAACTTATTCGAACAAACACACCCAACTAGTTGAGATTTGACCCAATCGAATATATATATATATATAAAAGCATATATATATATATGGTAAAGTATTTTTTTTAATTCCAGACTCCTTATTATTTTAGTCCCGTAAGTGGAGCCTATAGCAAATTAGTCTCATAAGTGGAAAATTTTCGTTGCTTTAGTTATACGGCGCCGGAGACGCCCGTGTGGCTCGCCGGAAGCTACGTGTCCGTCAGGTGTCCCGCCAGGTCAGCGACACTTGGCGAATACATGGATTTTATTTTATTTTTTTATTTTTTTAAAATTTTTAATTTTTTTTAATTGGACCAAATAAAAAAATAAAAAAAAACAAATAAAATTAAAAATAATTTTTTTAAAAAATAATAATAAAAATAAAAAATAAAATTCACATGTCCGCCAAGTATCATTGACCTGGCGGACACGTAGCCTCCGGCTAGCCACGGACACGTAGCCTCCGGCTAGCCACGCGGCCGTCTCCGGCGCCAGAGGACTAAAACAACGAAAAATTTTCACTTATGGAATTAGTTTGCGACATACTTCACTTATGAGACTAAAATGATAAGGGGTCCGTTACGAGGCTAAAAAACAGTTTGCCCATATTTATATATTTATATAGTACATTATATAATAATAATGTTGTGTTATAACAAAATATATTATGTTTTAGATATACTGTTATCTATCTTTATTAGAATATCTGTTACACTTCTTAATTATTTATTTACCTGATCGATTTTTATTATAACGAGATCTGTTTATTCTATAGATAAATAGCTCATATATTACATTTATCGATAACTCATTACATCTACAAAAATAATAAGTAAATAATTATTTTATTAATTATAACTTCAAATTTAAAATTTTAAAATTCTAAATTTACCAATAATTCATCTATACAAATACAAATTCAAATTTATTTTAAAAGATTATGTTTCACTTACATATTTTTCAATTAATTATATATATATATATTTAATTTCAATATTTAAATTATTTTACAAAAAATTATATTCAATCTCTTTTCAATTAGCACTTTAACAAAATTATTGAAAACAAAAAATTATTTGGGCAATTTATTAATCCAAATTTATTTCAATAGTTCACAATTTCAAATATCAGTAATTTCATAATTTGAATAATATTAATTTTAATATCTAATAATATAAAAAATTATATACTAAATTTTAACGGTTTATATAAATTACTAATTTTAAATTCAAGTATAATACTTCCTCCGTCCCACTTCCGTGTCTACAGTAAAGGAGACACGAGAATTTAGGAGTATAATTAGTAAATAATTAAGAATATATTAGAAAAATAATTATCGTATAATAAAAATAATTATAGATTAAAATTAAAATAATTAATTTATATAATTAAAATTAAAAAAATATATATAAATTTAAAATTTTAAAATGAAATTAAAGTGTATAATTCTTTTAAAATGAATGACAAAATAAGTGGGACAAATGAAAAATGAAAAAATGCACATAGTATGTGAGATGGACGAAGTATTATATAATAAATACTAGTATTATTTATATATTATTAGATAATAATAACATATAAAAATAAAGATAATTATTATGAATTTTATAAAATTGTAAAGGTAATATGTGAAAATAATGAAACTATAACGAGTGTTAAAAGAGAAATATTTTGAATATTGATGTGAAAAAAAGTAATGCACGAGACACTGACTATAACTTATGCTTATATATACGTTTGATTCAGTTAAATCATATAATTTACTGATTAATTTTTATTTTTTTCATTTACTCTAAAATTATGGAGTTAGTTTTTTTTGAAGATTATTATTATTTTTTTATGTATTAAAAAGGAAATATTAAACACAAAATTAATGTTGATGCTAGTATTTATAATTTTGTATATAAAATAGCTAGAAGAAAATATTTATTAATTATTTATATTTTATTGTAGGTAAAAAATATTATTATAGTATAAATTTATAAGTTTCTTATTTTTGTTTCACTTCAAACCCTTTAAAAATCAAGATCAGATTTGCTGATCCTAATAGTAGTATTCTCATAAATATAAAATTATAAATTAACACTAGAAAAAATATAGAAAAATAAATATATTTTTAGGAGATAAAAGAGGACTATTTATTGAAAATAATGAGAAACTTAATAGTAAAAAATTGTGTTTGAAACACAAAAAAAAAAAAACACTTGATAAATATTCAAATATTATGTAATTAGTAGGACTAGATAATGATAAATTATTAAAATAATATATTTGATTATAAAAATTCAGCCTCAATTTAAGGATTTATCTTAAAAAAATTAAATCACAATTATTTACGAAGATATATTTTAAATAACATACTTAAAATAATAATTTTTACCATATTTTGTTACGATGATTCATATTATATTTTCAATAATTATTTTACTCAACTTTTCATATAATACTTAATTTAAAAATATTGAGACTACCTCTAATAATAATAATAATAAATAATAATAAAACCTCTTAATGCACCGTCACCAAGAAGTTGCCGGATTCGATTGCCCCCACACCATTGCCCATTGATTCGAACATACCGTGACTCATTTCATTTCTGACCCGATTCTTCACTTATTTTTTCCGTTCCTCTCATTATTTATAATCTCCACAACAGAGCATCCAAGAGGGAAAATCATGATAGATCCCGAGGCATCGGCTAAATCCACCATATCAAATTTTCATATGTGCCGAGGAGGGTTTTTCATATTAAGAACGAAAAGTTTCTTCGTCCCAGATGCTTTGAGGTACTTTACAAGTCAAACTTATTTTAAAGACCTTCTATATATGTAAAACTCATGGCTATGAGCGTGGAAATTAAATAATCCTAAAGTTATTGAATATGAGCAAAGAAGCTTCTTGATATTGATGTCAATAACTTTCATAGGCACACGTGAAAATTGAATGTGGTTGCTTTTCGTGGCTTTGGGCTTAGCCGACGCCTCGGGATCTACAGTGTTTCCCGCCGCTAATGCTCTGCTATGGAGATTGTAGATAATGAAAAGAACTTAAGAAAGAAGTGCGAATCGAGTGAGAAATAAAATGAATTACGGCAATGCAGTTTGAATCAACAGGCGATGGCATGGGGTTGGTTGAATGTGGCGACTTCTAGGTGACAACGGGTCGGGAGGTTTTTGCAGATGCAAAACGAGCGTAGGAATTTGGTGCCGCGGGTAGGGATGTCAAATGGGGCGGGTTAGCCCCGGACCCGCCCCCGGACCCGTTCTTAATGGGGCATGTTCGGGTCTAAATAATATGTTTCGGGGCGGGTTGTGGATTTAAAAATTTTAAATCCGGCCAGGTTCGGGGCAGGTTACGGGGTTTTTAGTAAAATCCGCCCCAATCCGGACTCGAACTCGGATATTTTTTAAAATTATAACTAATATATATGTACATTTATATAATAAAAAAATATTATTTATTTACTTAAATAATTTTAAATATAAAATTCAATTAGTCGTCTGTTCTAAATAATTTTTTAAAATTATTATACCTAATATATGTATATTTATATAATAAAAATATATTATTTATTTATTTATCTTATTTTTATGAATCAAATATTGATTGTTTTTAGATTTTTTTGTGTGCTTTTAATGCTATTTATTTTAGTATTCCATTGTTGAAAAAATATTTATGATTATATATTTAAAAAAAAACGGGTTTGTCGGGTTGGCTCCGAACCCGGAGGGTTCGGGGCGGGGCGGGTCCTGGGGCCGAGTGGAAGCGGGGCGGGGCGAATCTCGGAGCCTAATATTTTTTAGCTGGGCGGGTCTCAGGGCCTGCAAAATCCGTCCCGAATCCGCCCCGTTGACATCCCTAGCCGCATGTGGCGACCGAGGGTATATTAATTTATGTTTATTTTTATTTGATTTTTTTTTTTTGTTCTTTTAATTATTGGAGGCCGTCCTCAATATTTGTAAATTAAGTGTATTATATAGAAAATATATTAATTATTAAAAGTATAATATAGATTATTGTAACAATATGTGGTAAGAAATATTATTTTAGGTGTGTTATATAAAAGATAAAAATTTGTAAATAATTGTGATCTAATTTTCTACCGAGTGTGTTTGTTTGGGGAATTGGATTTAATTTCTACTATTCATTCCATTTTTTCTTTCCAAAAACATCAAATCAAACACTTATTTTTCATTTTTTATATTATACTAAAAATCAATTTTACTTTCAAAACATCACATCAACACCTGTTTATATCACATCATACAACTATTTAAATTCAAAATTTTTACTATTCAAATCCCAACTCAAAATCCAAACTCTCAAACAACAAACACACCAAGATTCTTAAATTAAAGCTAGATTTTTATAATAATATATCTATCATATTTTCATACTAATTACATATATTGTTACCTGCTCAGGAGCATATTTGTTTGTTGCTAATATTATATTATTTTAATTATAATTTTTTTTGGTTAATATTTAATAAATTAGGTTTTTATATTTTGGGTTGATTCTTATTTTTAAATATAACTCATAAAATTAATGTTATTAAAATTTTTAGATAAAAAATTATAAAATCAGTTTTTATTTAATACCTAAATTGACCTAACTAGAGCAATTAGGATGTTCAATTAATTGTTCAAGTAAAAATGTTGTAATATTAGAAATATAGAGTACTCTGATAAAGAATATGTAAATAATATTGTGTGCAACTGCTTTACAGTCTACCGGATTTGAGCTTCACCCTACAAATATAGTTTTAATTGTACATGGTCGTGGCCATATATAATTGTATATAGCCGTGTACTTTTCAGGTCAACTGCCACGTCATCTCCGTCATGTCCACGTCAGCAATTTCCGTTAGTTTTTTAACTAAAATTGATGAGTTTTTTTATATTGGGACCAAAATTGATAAATTTTAGTTAGGGATCAAAATTGATAAGTTTTTTATATTAAAACTAAAATTAATAAATTTTGATTATATTGGGACCAAAATTAATTTTTTCTTTAAAAAAAAATATAAAAGTAAAAAAAGACAACCCTAGCAAATTGTATTGAAATATATATATATATATATATATAGAGAAAGAGGTGTACGTAAGTTTTATTTATTTATTTAATAATAATAATAATAATAAAATCAAAACCCCTCTTTCCCTCCTCATCGTTGCCATTTGTTTTTTGTTGCTCTTCTTAACCACGTTTCTAAGTTGTATGTAACCCTTCTCTTCTCTTCTCCTCTGCCTACCAGATCAAGAACCCACCCCCAAACCCCTACCCCTACCCCCCTACCTCACCCCCCCTCCAAACCCTCTCTTCTCTCTCGCATGTAATCCGCATCCCAATCCCAGACGATTCTACCATCCGTCACTCCTTTTGTTCTCTAGTCTTCTCCAGTCGGTCAATTTATTTTTATTTATTCATATTTTGTCAAAAAAAGAGAAAAGAAGACAACGCCCCACTGCACTAAATTTGACTGCTGATTCCGAGTTATTTGTTGCCATTGTTGTTGCACTTCACTGGGGTTGATTAATTGTTTTTGTCTGGATGTTAATTGCGGTTTCGTTGTTTTATAAATGCCAATTCTAATTCGATTCGTCTCATAAAAGGAACCTTTTCCCCCTTTGGTTTTGAGTTGGTAATCTTTTTAATTTTTTAGGTTTAGGGTTTAGGATTGATGTTGATTTTGGTGAATTCCTTTATTTGAAGAAATTCGTGGTGCTGATTTTAGTTTTTGAGTCCTTTTCTATTCAGTTCTGAGAATTGGGTTCGATTTTAGCTGAATTTGTAGCCTAGGTTTTGGTTAAATTCCTGAAAATTTGTCTTTATAGGAATTGAATTGGTGTAAATTTCTGGAGAAATGGTGAACAGCAGCAACAATAACAATAGTAGTAATCTAGAGGATGGGGAAAAGAATCCATCAACGAATTCCATCACTAAAGGTGGGGGTAGGGGTGGGGGTGGGGGTGGAGGTGTGACCCGGTCCTGGGGCACCACTCTTTCAGGCCAATCGATGTCGACTAGTGGTAGTGTGGGGTCTCCCTCCAGCCGCAATGAGGTTGCCATGGCGACTCCGGCCAGCGATAAAACATTTGTTAGGTCGTCGAACAATCCTGATAGCCATGGGGATGAAGCTGGTTCACAGGGTCCTGCTGGGTGAGCTTTTTCATAAGCCTTGCTTTTTGTAGTTGTTGTTTTCGTGTTTGTGGTAGCTTTGGTAGATGAGATTATTTGCAAGGAAATAGTGAGTTGTTTCTAGAGCCGAACAAATTTTATTCGGTTTGGAGTTTGCTAAGTGCATTTATATATGTGGATTTCTGAATATGATACTTGTTTCCTTTGAAGATTTAGCACAATGGTATCGAAATATTGCAGAGTAAGATCAACAAGAAGGAAATCTAGGATGGTGTTACATAATAAGTGGCGATTCGTTGTGAAGTCATTTGTGGTTGTTGTAACCTGAAAATGTATGTGAAATTTGTTGTGAAATTGCCAATGTGATTATGTGCTGCTAGTTAGAGTGGTTGAATGAGAAAAGTTTGGCTCATTCTTCACTGATTTGTCCATTTACCACACGATTTGAGTTTTTAATGCTCCTTTAGTGTTTGATAAGTGTTTGTTTCTTCCTCTCTATAATCGTCGTCTACTTCAGGAAAAAGAAGAGAGGTCAACGAGCTGTTGGAGGTGATAAAAGTGGTCGAGGACTCCGTCAATTTAGCATGAAAGGTGGCTGTGTTTCTCAACTCTAGTAGTTCTGGTATTGTGCTTATTTATGTGCAGTTAGAAGTGTTTGTTAATGATGCATTTTTCTGAAATGGTCGCTTGCATTAATTGTGTTCTGCATTTGTCCGAGATGTGAGTATACTCTCCTGACAGGCTATATTATCATTTAAGCAAGTTTTGCTTCTCTCAAGTGCAAAAATTAAAGAAAATGCACCTTGAAAACTCAAAAAGCATTCCAAAAAACTTTAGCTTCCACCAACGTATCTTTGGATGCACTTTAACAAATAATGTCTTCATTTTTCATTTTTTGATTCAACGACAAATGCTATGTTCTGTGTGTTGATACACTAGGTCGACACCCCAATTATATTTGGTGTTGGATAAGAATTTCTTAAAAATTTCAAACATTGAGTGTGAATGGTTCGAAGTCAAGGGTGAAGGGTAGGAAGGCTTGTGTATAATTTTTTAACTAAACACTTCAAGAAAATGCTGTCATGTTGATTTTTTCATGTAGATTTGGTGTTGTAACTAATGTTTTGGAACGTGGGAAGTACATGAAACTATGTATAGTTACCATGTTTTTTAAGGCTGTACTATAACCCCCATAAGGTCCTCTTTCCATTTGTATTCTTGACTCAATTACGGTTGACTGGATAAATAATGTTTGCTTAAGGATGGACCTGTCCGGCATTCTTTTCTCTTGCTTCCATTGCTTCCTAAGTTTTGCGAATACTTTTATATATAGTAAACAAACTGAATGGCATTTTGGAGTTTGGCCTTACATGTCATGAAAAACTACTCATAATTTGTTATCACTTTATAGTTTTTATTTGCAGTTTGGCTGGACCGATCTTATAATGCATTATATCATAACTAATATTTCACTTTTTTGTGTGGATAGTTTGCGAGAAAGTGGAAAGCAAGGGGAGAACCACTTATAATGAGGTTAGATTGCTTGCAACCATCATAAGTTTTCTTGATACGATTTTCTCCCTCTCCACATATCTCTAGGTTATGTTTAGATCTGTTTTGGAGTTTTGGGATTAGTAGAAGTTGAATAAAAATTAGGTATTTGATGTGATGTAAATAGGTCGTGGATTTGATGTTTGTAGAGAAAATAAGTCTTTTTTATGTAATATTTTAAGTGAAAAATAGGTATTTGATGTGATGTTTTTGAAAAAATATACAATTGACGAATAGTGCTAAATTTGATTTGAACGCATATGTAAACCGAGATTTGGTCTTTTTCTTGTTGCTCTCCTACCGCAGCTACGATATTGTTCGTGCATCTCAAATATTGTCGCTAAACTCATGTATTATCATTAATTCTCCTATGCTCTATAACAGATGATGTAATAGGCACCAGATTGTTTATTTTGATATTTTGGTGTAATATGGGATTTGTGGAAGATTTTGACTATGCAATTGGTGCTGCATAAGTTTCGATCGTTTTGCCCCAGATCTGTTTGTCCACAGAAGTGTGGATAATATTATCAAAGCCACAAATGTTTATGGCACTCGAAATGGCCTGAAGCAATATGTTGGTTAGATTTTTATTTTTACATGTGAATTTTTATTGTCGTACACGCGGGATTCTTTTCACTGTCAACAATGTCACTGAACATTTCTGATACCTCTTGAGCGCATTTGCGTTTGATCATTGGATTAAATCGTTTACTAGTTTGTTTGACAGTTCATTGTACCACACGTGTACCTTTGCTCTGGCGCTGTTCCACTGCACATTTGTAATCTCTTTTGTTTTCTGCGCAACAACTATTATTTTCATCAATGGCAGCAAATTGGAGTATGCTTGGGAGAACGGAATAAAATTTTATTCTAATTTGTGCTGCAGAACATTTGAAATACGATTGCATTTCAGCTATAACGCCATTACATCTTAGTGTATTATCCAATTTACTATGTTTGATGCATCACTTCATTATCAACTAAAGTTTATAATTTTTTGTTTTTGTAGGTGGCAGATGAACTGGTTGCTGAGTTTGCGGACCCCAGCAATAATCCGGCAACCCCCGATCAGGTTAATGGCTTTTTAATCTTTCATTCTTGTGCTTGTAGCTGTGAAACTCAATTTTGAAGCTATAAGCTTTGGATTCCATTATCTATTTCAGCAACAATACGATGAGAAAAACATACGTCGAAGGGTATACGATGCTTTGAATGTGCTAATGGCAATGGACATAATCTCTAAAGACAAAAAGGAAATACAGTGGAAAGGTCTACCAAGGACTAGCCAGAATGACATCGAAGAACTAAAGGTTAGCTCTCTACACTGCCGAAAGAAGCATATTTATTGATGTTTCAATTATTATTTATTGAAATGATTGCTTTGTATATAATTGATTGAAGACCGAGCGCCTTGGACTCCGAAGTAGAATTGAAAAGAAAGCAGCATATCTTCAAGAACTCGAGGAGCAAGTAAGAAACTTGTGTATTTTTAGATTTAAGCTAGGAGTTTACCCCTGCGATAAATATGTAGTTCATATTACATCTAACTAGAGTTGTGAAAGAAACAAAATGTTTGTGAATCAGCTCGGTTTGGTCGTTAAGAGCTCATTTGTTATGCTAAACAAGCTGAACATGAATACAAATTTTAGCTCGTCATGTTCATGAACGAACTCGAACTTATTTGTGTATGTTTGATAGTATATTGAAAAATTATATTTAATAAATATTTATGTTCTTATAATATTATATATATTCTAGAGTGTGTTTATTTAGTGTTCTAGTTTGAGGTGTTATTTTGATGTGAGGAACGGGTAATCGTGTTGAATTGTTGATTTTTGTGAAAAAATAGAATATAAATATTATATATATTGAGAATTTTGCCAGCAAAAAAAATATTTTTGTGTACACATTTTTAGTTTTTACACAAATTTATTAATAAATAATAGATATGATTAATTTAATTTAAATTAAATAAAAATAATAACTCAACGAGCCAATTTGAGCTGATATAGAACAAAACAGTTGCTTAACGAGCTGAATTCAAAAAATTTTAGTTTGTATCTCTTAACAAACAAACATGAGCTCAAACATGAAAAGCTCGGCGTCTGTTCGTCTCGTTAGCAGCTTCGCGTCTAACTTATTGATTCACTCTTTCATGTTTTATGTTTTCTTTCAGTATGTTGGCCTTCAAAACCTCATGAGCCGCAACGAGAAACTATACAGTTCAGGAAATGTTCCAAGTGGTGGAGTGGCATTGCCTTTTATCCTTGTGCAGGTAGAATTGTTTGGTATGCTGATATTTCAACATGCTCGTTTACCGGGCTAGCGATTCTGCAACATAATTTATTTTGTTGGAACCCTATTAGCTTGTGATAGTAGATGCCTGTGCCATGAAGTATTAATGTTAATTTTAAGAGCAGTTACGAGTTAGACTCCCATCTTCTATGCTTAAAGCTCTTTGCCGAACCTTACCCTTGAATACAGTTCGACTGTGAGTTGAATCTGGATTCATAGGCGTGCTATAGCTTTATTTACAGAATAACAGATGGTTAGATGAAAGGCAAAAACAGTTGTTTCGTATTTTTAATATGAAAATTTACTTGATTTATCATGTGGAATCGACCGAAAAAAAAAAGTGGAGTTTGTTGTTCTGCTGATCACCGAATTCTTTGGCAACATTTTGGGGTTTGTTTGGTTGTGGTTTGAAATTTATTTGAAATAAAGTGTTAGATTTGAGTTTTTGTTAAAATATTATTTTGATGTGTTTGTAATTGGAAATACTGTATTTTATTGAAAACTGTGTCAAATGAATAGTGTTGATTTTGGTTTAAAATGGTATAAGAACAACCCCTTGGTTTTTAATTGTGTTTTTTTGTTATGGTCGCCACGTTGCTTCTGCCGCTGCAATAGATTCTATCGAACTTGCCCTAAACTTAGGCATTTTGGATGCGTTTTTGTGTTTTGTATTTTGTTTATTCAATGATTCCTTGTTCTTAACTGCAGACTCGTCCTCACGCCACGGTGGAGGTGGAAATATCCGAAGATATGCAGCTTGTGCATTTCGATTTCAATAGGTAACGCATTTTTCGTATATAAAGAGGCATTTGGCAAAACCTTATGTTTGTTTGTTTGTTTTTTATTTGAATTTCTATTTAAATAATACTCCATCCGTCCAAGAGTAAGCTTCTCATTTACTTTTTGCATGTTGATTTTTGAATATTAATTATTATATCAAACTTAGTACAAATTAAGAGAAAATAATAAAAATACTTCTATTAGTGTTTTACAATTATAAGAATATTTTTAATGTTAAAAATAATGACATCAAATGTAAATGAGAAGTTTAGTGACGGACGGAGGTAGTATATTTTTATTGGGAGCTATACCTGCTTAGTAATGTTAATTTCCTTTCAGCACTCCTTTCGAACTACACGACGACAACTATGTTCTCAAAGCAATGAACAGCCGCGGGAAAACTCAAGTCAGCGACGAATCAGCGCAAAATATTCCTACAAATGGCGGCGAAGGCTCGAGCATGTCAAATGTTCATCTCCCTCAATTATCTCGTCCTGTTCGGCCCAACACCTCAGGTATGCTTCCGGCCTCACCCCCCCTTCCCGGGATAATAAAGGCGCGCATTAAGAACGAGAATTAGTTGGAAATCTTGTCGATTTAGTGTAGTCTTGTTCGCTCGCGGCTGTACATTCTGTGAAATAGGAAATGGAACGCGGTTTGCCTGTTTTGCCGCGCTTCTATATGGACTTAAGATAGACTTTAATCGAATCCGGTGTGAGTTCTTGTCGGCTCGGTTGGATCGGATCGGGTCGGGTATTTAAATTTTTATTTAGGCGGGAGTGTATTTTGGTCGTTTCTATTCTGCATTTATAACAAGAAGTAGGTGTTTTGAAATAAAGTTCTCGCACTATTTATGTTTTTTTTTGGATGTTTTACTATTATTTATAATTTTAAATAAGCATCGTATTAAATATATATTTTCTTAAAAATATTATATACAATATATATAGGTCGATATTGTGTTGAGAGTCGACAACATGAAATACTGCTTTTTTTATTTGTTTCACTTAAAAGCATTGTTTTCTTTTGTTTCGTAAAAATAAGGAAAAATGTCAACTTATTGATCCCACAGATTATATAAATATGCTATTTTAATAAATAGCACATAGTATAGAGATTTTTTTTCCTTTATATATATATATATATACCCCTTGTTTTTTTAAAGATTTTAAAAAGCAAGTTAGAGTAATAATTAAGGGTAGTATACAAAAATATAATAATTTTGTTATAAAATAGGAACCGGTTACTAAATAAGAAAACAAGATAATTATTTTATAACGGACAAAAATATAAAAACAAAGACCAACTCTTTTTAGACGACAGAGTACTATATAACATAAAGTGATATACTATCATATATAATATTATTTTATTTTTTAAACTATTTTAAAAACAAACACAACTTTAGTTATTAACTTTTGTCCTATATTTAATTATTTTTTTAATTTATTTTTATATATTACTAGATTTATTTGTATCTATTGAGTAATACAATTTTTGTCGATCCTACTCAGCAATAAAACTAATCACACTAGTACAAATATATCATTATATATAAATTATAAATATTTCATTACGGATAATTTTACGGTAATATGAATATTTATGAAAATAAGACTATTGTTTTGAAACGAACAAAAATGATAAATAAGATTACTGTATTGAGACGGAAGGAATATTATTTTTTAATATACTACAAAAAATACATTCAAGCGGAAAGAGGGAGTATAAATTATTTATGGTAATATGAATATTATTAGTGTGTTTGTTTGGGGGATTGGATTGGATTTGCATTATTCATCCAATTTTTTTTTCTCCAAAAACATCAAATCAAACACTTATTTTTCATTTTTTATATTATACTAAAAATCAATTTTACATTCAAAACATCACATCAACACCTATTTATATCACATCATATAACTATTCAAATTCAAAATTTTTACTATTCAAATCTCAACTCAAAATTCAAACACCGAACAAACACACCCTAAGGAACATGTTAATCTTCCAGACTTTCTTACACAAAAAAGTTTTATCCAATATTCTTAATTAAATTCAACAATATATATATGCTTACCTTCCGTCCACTCTGAGAGTTTCATTTACCTTTTGCGTGTTGATTTGAATATTAATTATTATATGACAACTTAATACAAATTAAGAAAAAATTGCAAAAATACTTCAAGTAGTACCTTGTAATGCTAACAGAAGAACACTTTTCAATTGAGTCACTTACCCAAAGCTTGTCAAGTGTGGCTTTTCTTTTAAAATTATTGCACAACTTTTTTTTTTTTTTAAAAAAATAATAATAAAAACACGAGAGAGAGTGAAATATAACTTTTAAACCATAAAGAATAATTGTGCAGGCTTTTCCAACTAAGAAGAAAAAAACAATCTAACTCGAAACCCAAATGAAGATTAACAACAATCATTCCAGAAAGGATGAACAATTATCAATGACTTTTCAAGTACCTCAAAACTTTTCTTCGACATCCGGAGGTACACAACGGCTAAAAAGACCGACAAAAGGAGTCATTCTTAAGCTGCATAAAAGCCTAAAAAGAAATCGACAATGCGGATCTTTAGTCAGTCTTAAATCGACTCTGTTATCCGACCCAAGGCAAAATATATAGCGCCGCAATAAATTAATCATCTCAAAAGTAGGGATCATTCACGAAGAATTATTAAAATCCTTGTGGGGCAAAGTGGTGATCATACCTTCGGCGAACCACTTGGAGAATCCTTTCTCCAAAGCTTCTCGCATCCACAGATGCCTACAGCAATCGATGGCTTCGGGAACGGTCAGCCAACTCCTTTCCCGGAGGCTTTTTTCAGGCCAGGAGTCGAGTTCCTCCTTCACGTGCAATGCGTACATGGCAGCTCGGCACAGCCCTTCTGGACTGCACTCGTCCTGCAGTGTTTTGCTCTTGAAAGGATAGTATCCTAAAAAATGCTGAAACAGTTGTCGGGACAATGGAAAATTATGATGGAATGAGATTTGCGCAATGCAACACCAAATAGATCTTTTTTAAAAATAAAAAGTAATAAAAATTATGATTTAGATGATCCTCCAAGTTCCCAAAGAGAATGAGGATCTAATTTAAGAATGTGTTATTTTATAGGATTTTACACAAATTTTACTATTTATAAAAAAAAATTTCCCAAAAAACATCAGATCAAACACCTGCTTTTAATTTTTTATATTATACTAAAATTCAATTTTACATTCAAAATATTACATCAACACCTATTTATATCACATTATACAACTGTTCAATTCAAAATTTCATAGTCCAAATCCCAAACAAACACACCCCTAATATCCAAGAGACTGACTATATTCTCTTTGAATCTTCTTTTTTTATTTTTTCAAATTTTTTACTATGTAAACTGGTCATGAAATAATCTGATTCCGGTGTAAAAATAAATAATTTTTTCTGATTCATCATACTACTATTTAAGCCAAAAGCAAACAACCCTGTAATGCATTTAATCATATTTCATCGAAAATGCTTTACAAAATGTATATCATCATAATTACACAACTACCATTATTCGACCATGATAATTACAAGAAGTACACCATGTTTAATCAGCTCGCCAGCATTAGGGTGCCTTCAATACCATTTGGTTAAGACTAAGACTCAGTCACCGATATGGTTTGTCCCCTCAGTTAAGATGAAATACTATTAAAACAAAAGCTTTATGGACTAAAGAGGGCGAATGTAATGAAATCTTTCAAAAGAGATATTCACGGGATGTGAAAATAAGCCCAGTGTTGGTCTACTTTTACGTTATTTTATGCCCTTGCAATACATGGCATCAAATGTACAATACTTCAAGTAAGATGTTTGTCTTCCAGATATATATACACATGTTGAAAATTTAATTATTACCTAATCTTTAACTCAATTTAAACTAGAATTAAGATAAGTATATACATATACACATATACACTCACATTCATGACATATATATATATATATATACTCTCTATACATTAATTGTAATGCTGTGCTTTACAGATTGATTCAATCAAATAATGAAGAGAAGTGTAGAAATTCAATAGATAAATTTTTATTTTTTTTGCCAGCTCCAAATATATAGAAGCCATACTGTGGCCGGTGTAAAGATGATGCATCAAAACACAAGAAAGATTTTAAATAAAATTGGAGCTCTTGTGTTCTGCACTTTTGAATCTTTTCAAGTTGGAAGTAGAAATTTTAAAAAAATAAAAAAAATTGAGATGTGCAACTTCGGCATCTATTTACTACTTCCCCTGTAGATATAATAAGGTACAGACGTGAAAAAAGGTATTTATTTTGGATGAAGAAGTAATTCAATTTTTAAATACCAAAGCTCAAATCTATATTACATCTCTATGTAAATGTACCTAGAGACAATGGATGAAACACCGTAAAAAAACTAAGGGGGAATGTAAACGTACGCCATCTAACAAACCATTGCCTAAGTTCACTGCAAGTCACACTTGATCTTAAGTAAATGTAGCTAAAGGTAATGGACGAACCAACAAAAAACACTCAAGGAGGAATGTAAACACATGGCGCCTGACAAACCGTTACCTCAGTTCACATCACACTTGACCAATTTACTTATTAGGTGCTCATTAAACAGATTGTTTATTAAACAGTCTAGCAGATCTTGTCATAGCAGCCAGACAAATTGATGCCTCGTCACAGATGACATAACAAAAACTTTGGTGACTGTACTAGAACATTAATATTCAAGTAAGAACAAACACAACAATGCATAAAAAGGAAGTAAACCTTGTGCTTACCACTAAATCCCCTCGAACTCCAGCCTCTTCGATGGCTTCCCTTTCTGCTGCCTCCTCAGCTGTTTCATCATTCTCCCATCCACCCTAAAAAAGGGGCAAAAGCAAAAGAGTATGAGCAATGAAGCTGATCTTGAAACCAATTTTCCAATCTGAAAAGGCACATAATAATACATAAATATGCGTGTGTGGAGAATACTAAGTGACCTTAATTTTAACAAATCGCCAATCTAGAATTGACATCATCATGGTTATTTTTATCTCACTTAATTCAGTATGCTATTTGAACCAGATGTCAATATCGTGCTCAATAGTACATATACTCTCATGTTTAGGTATATATTGTCTTTCTTAACAGTTTCTTCGAATTTACATTTTAATGTTATTAGGAATACTACAAAAATTCAATCATCTTAACATTTTTATTGCAGGCACTTGCATCACGTTGAATTGCATGTAGTGTATAATCAGAGTTTCAATTCCTCCAAAGATTATAGACCACAATCAGACATACAAAAGAAAATCGATCATAATACAAAAGAAAAGGGTTAAATTATAAAAATAGAAAAAAAAATAAAAAATTAAAAGAACCAGTAAAAAGAGATCAAGGAGACATAATAATGCAAGGATTGATCTCAAAGATTTCATTGGTTTTCAACCATATTGATTAATTTAATGCTACACCCCCCAAATACAAATATTTGCACAACCTTGAAAACCAATGGACGTGTACATGATTCATGAATGACTATATCAACAATATTCTTATGCCAACAATTAACAAAATGTCGAAAGCACAAGGATAGGTAATCATTTTTAGTCTGTTCATTTAACCCCTTCATGTATGGTTCATTATGGAACACAAACAAATGTACGATTTGAGTTTTAAGTCTTCATTAGGATAGTTTGCCAAAGCAACAATGCAAGGTGCCTATAATAACTTATGAGGAACGAATAAAAACATTAAAAAGAGACAACATTATTAAAGAACGATTACTAGAAAGTGCTCTGCTCATATCGTCTGCGACGTATCAACATGTATCACCTTTGGAAACAGAAGACCAGGTCCACTGGTAGAATTGATCATTAGTACTTCAACTATCTTGTTAGACGTCCCATTTCCATCGTCGTTCACATTCCTAAATCTAAAGGGAACACACCTGGGAAATAACTACAGGTTAGAACTAAAAAATAAGTAAGCTCATACTCCTTTTAGAACATCAATTCAAAGAACATTTCGATGCATAAAGGTTTGTGGAGAGCATTTCCACTCCAACAACATAGGGGCATATTCGATCAATCGAAATAACTTAACAAACAGTCAGAGAAAATGATTGTAGAATCCAAATTCTAGCAATCATTAATCACATTTACATTCGGAAACACATCTTCAACCCTAAGCTGAAAGAATTTGCATCTCCATAATCCTAATAGTAGGCCAAAAGTTAACAGATATTTTATACTCTTCCGCAAAGACCTGACAAGTTACAAAGAGTAAATTCTCTCACATTTATGTTCTTCCTTTCGGGTACGAAGATATGGGAGTTTTATCTCACACTTGTTGAATTAAGAATTAAAAAATTCACAAACTAGAACCGAAAAAAAACACCCCCATAACAGCACAGAATAGAAGTAGGGTCGTCGACTTCGGTCTCTTCTCCGAGCTTCAATCAATTGCTGACAAATTTTCGAAAAGACCTCCCAAAACCACCTGAACAATACACATCTTCTGCAACATTCCCAACAAACCCTATGCATTTTCGAAAATTCCATCCAAAAATTCCCTCATTTTTCCTCAATTAACCAGAATCAAAGTAGCCACTAAGCATTCATACAACAAAAATGGCCCCAAACATCAATTTGCCCTTACTGAATCGACAAATTCATTCACCCCCAATTAGGGGTGAAAAAAACGAAGTAATTTGCAATTTGCAAAGGATATCACAAGAACAACTCCAAATTCTCCCACATTATCAATTTCGAAGCATTAAACACCAAACACAGCACCAAAAATTCATGCAATCTTAAGCAAAATGTTTTCTCTGCAACAAATTTAGAAAATGCAAAAAGGGTACCCAGCAATAAGGCGATATCCATCCTCGTAGCGCTGCTGATGCCGGCCAGTTCGAGCCACCAATTCCGACATTTATTCCCGAAAATTCACCGGCAAACAAACGAACTATCAGTACCCAAATCTGTAATACGGCACCCACGAATCAAAGCACGCCCGCCGCCCTTTGATCGACGAAGATATAGCGATTCACCATTTCCAGAAGCTTCCCGAAATTTGACCTCGAATACTTCCAATTGGGCGACGCTTCTCACGCAATTCTCGCTGAGATTGAGCAAAATTTTTGTAGAAATCAATTTGGCGTCCGCAGTGAATCTGTGATCGTGATTGTGATCGAAGCAGAAAGCCCTTTATACAAATGCGAAATAAATAAATAAATGGAAAAAAAAAATATTTTTAGTGCTGGTATAATCAAAATTGATCAATTGGTCCTAATATAAAAATTTTATTAATTTTGATCTCAATATAACTAAAATTCATCATTTTTTATCATAATATAACTAAAACTCATATTTTTTTTCTCAATATAAAATTTTTATCAATTTTTAGTCTCAATATAACAAAAACTATCATTTTTTATCCCAATATAATTAAACTTTATCTGTTTTTTTTTTCCACCTACGGAAAATGCTGAAGTGAAAAAAATCAAACCTTATATTTATATTTGAAGAAATTGCACAATCTTGCAAATCCACGTCAGCATTTTCGGTCAATTTATCGACGATGAGATCAAAAAAAGATAATTTTTTATTATATTGGGACAAAAAATGATAGTTTTGGTTATATTGAAACTAAAATTGATAAAATTTTTATATTGAGACAAAAAACGATGAATTTTGATTATATTAGGATCAAAATTGATAAATTTTTTATATTTAAACTGATGAATTTTAATTATATATAAATAAATAATTTTTAATATAACGAGAATTCTTTCAATTCCAAATTGTACCCTCGAACGCAGTACGGACCACTACGGTTGAGGGAGGGTATATTTGTAATTTGACAAAGGTCGCACACAGCTTTAGAAAGTAGGTTGACCAATGTGAAAAGATAAAACACGAACTTTTTCATTTTTAGTTTATTAAATTATTTTTAGCTATTTCACAATTAAAAAGAAAAAATTAATTTAATTGTTTGATAAACTAATTTTTAAAATAAATTATTGAATTAAAAAAATTAATTTTAGAACAATTTTATTTTTATTTATTCTTAAAACACAGAGGAATACTAAGTTTTTAAACTACAAAATGAAAGACCAAGTTGAGTTTTCAAACCACATAGATATAGATAGTTTTGTCTTTATAAAATGATAAAATATATATTTAAAATCGTGCCCAGAAAATTATGCAAACTTATTTCGTGAAATGATTTTAAAAAATAAAATAAAACAAGATCATAAAATAAAATAAAACATATAAAAGATATTTTTCAATTTCAATTCAATAGTCATGTTTTACAATTTATATTCATTTTTTATTTTTATTAATAATCATATCATTACAATTACTCCCATTATTATTATTATTAAACAAATATTATTACTTTAACACTTAAATTAAAACAATCATGAGGTAAAAAAATTTTTATCCATACTTTTTACGAAATACTTCCTCCGTCCCGGAACTAAATATCCATTTGCTTTTTGCACGTAATTTTAGAAATATTAGTATTATATTGGAATATAGTAAAAATAAAATAGAAATGACTAAAATAACCTTATTAGTATGTTGTGATATAAAGGTAATGACATTTGTAATATATTGTAAGTTGTAAGGGTATTTGTAATGTTAGGTAGATAGTATAGTTACTAAAAAAAAGAAATATATACTTTGTTATGGGACGAACTAAAATGGAAAAATGAATACTTTGTTGGACGGAGGGAGTAATATAAACTTTTGTTAAAACCAAAGAAATACCTATTTTTTAAATGAGAGTATTTGTTTTTTGACATATGAAATATTATATTTGTATACTACTCCGTCCTTTAAAAAGTATTCGATTACATTTTGTACGTAAAATTTTTAATATCAGTATAATACTATTATATCGTATAAATTAAGAGCAAATGATAAAAATAACTTTATTAGGATTTTATGATACTCTCCGTCCCACATAAAAGTCTACATTTTCTATTGCATATGTTACAACATAATTTAATTTTCTTTTAAAATATAATTATATTTTTAATTACATTTTTTAAATTTCATAATCTATAAATTTTTTTAATTTTAATAAAATTATTTAATTATTTTAATTTTAATTTATAATTATTTTTATTATAGAATAGTTATTCCTACTTATTTATTTTTTAATTATTTACTTAAATATATTTTACTTAAATTTTCTTATCTATAACAATGCAGACCATTTATCCAATACTGAGTATAAAGGTAATATTATAAATTGTAAAGATATTTTTAATATTAAAGAGATAGTACAGTTACTAAAACTAAATTTTGTGAGTTTTACTACAAGTTTTTACTATTAATATTCTTTTTTCTCTCCAAAAATATTATATCAAAGAATTATTTTTCTTTTTTTATATTATATTACAAATTTATTTTACATTCAAAATATCATATCAATCTCTATTTATATCACATTAAACTACTATTTAAATTCAACTTTTTACTATTTAAAAATCTAAATATTTTATTATGAGACTGATCAAAATAAAAGATTAATAAAATTTATTTAAGAAGAGAGGGAATACTAAATATACGCTTTGCATTATCAATTTATATCTTATATATTACCAATTCGTAATTTTATACGATGTCAATGTTCAGCACTATAAACGTCGCCATATATATAAATCAGAGACAATAAGTCCATCAAATACGACAACAAACACTCCAAAGTTGTTTCTATCAAACAATAACAAGAATCAAAGCACAAGAACACACTTCATTAGTATTGATTCGCTATTTCGGCGAGTGACGAATACGTCCCGAGAGCTGCGCTCACGACCCCCACCCCGACAATGCTCGTGCACGCGATCATCTGTCGCAAAAATAAATTTCAAATAATAATAATAATAATAACAACGATAATTTTTTTTTTTTATTTGGGTCGAATCCTGCAGAAGATAATATTGACGCGAAAATCCAATCGCCAAAAAATATAGTTGTCGTCATCACCTCACCTGTGTTTTCGTCGCTTTCTTCCCCAATATCTTCATGAAACATAACGAAGGTATTATAACTGCCTGAAAAAGGACAACGCCCCGATGATGCAAGAATTAGCTTTCTGCAGGTTAAGGTTGCTAGAACACACGTCGATACAAGGATACGAATTTGTCTTACCACGAGGATGCTAAGAAGCGAACCGATCAACGCCATCACAAGACCTATAAAAGGGAAAAAAACGAAAATAACAAAGTTTAAACTCTCGTCTTCGATGAACTTTTATTCGAGAAAATCCGACAAAAATGCCCAATTTTTATCATAAAGTGATACTCCCTCTGTCCGCTCGAAAGATATTCATTTTATTATTTTCGATCATCCAAACACAAAAAATATGTATATATATTTTTCGTAAATATGAATCTACTATAAATTACAAGTACATTCAATCTTACATTTATTTATGTTAATATATCAAAGTATCTTACTCTTTTAACTATAGATATATATAATCTATTGTGTTAAATAAAAAAATAATAATATTTTATTGATGAATATAATTGTATAAAATAATTTTATATTTTTTTTCTTCTTGCAAGTACAAAGAAAGATAATATTATCTTCATCCACCAAATATATACTATCTCCATCCGGCTCTAAGGGTCTCATTTACTTTTTGCGTGTTGATTTTTTAATATTAATTATTATATGAAAACGTAATACAAATTAAGGGAAAATGACAAAAATACTTATATTAATGTCTTATAATACTATTACAATGATATTTGTGCAAAAAAATATACAAATATAAAGATATTTTTAATGTTAAGTACAATAACGTAAAAAGTAAATAAAATTCTTAGAGAGCAGGACAGATGGAATATATGTTTTCCTTTCGTCTATCTACAGAAAATATATATATATATGTACTTTTCATTTATAGCATTTTATATCTCTTTAATTTATACCTTTCAATATTATATTTATTTAGATAAATATCATAGCTATTTACACACTCAATTTATTAAAAAAAATCATTTTATTAACTCATTCATATATTTTTCGAAATACCCATATTTTATATTTCGATAAAAAAAAAACCTTTATTTTATATCAAAATCAATTTATATAATATTATATTTATTAAAACTATTTTATATCCCAATCAATTAATATAATATTATATTCATTAAAACTTAAATGAATATATAATTGTTGGACGAAAGGACTACTTTTTAATAAATTACTTTTATTATAATAAAGAATAGATATTTTTTTTACAGATATATGCAAATATTAAAAATAGTACTTTTAGTTGGGACAAAAGAAAATAGTTCATAATGTTTCGGTGAAATGATCAAAATGATAAAAATATTACTTATAAAAATGTTACGAGGCGTACCGAAAAAAGGAAGAAGAAAGGCGATGCAAACGGTAGAGACGACGAGCGTTGTCCGGAGAAGTATATAAAACCAATATTCATCGGAAATCCTCCGCGGCACCAACTCCTCGATACTTCTCGCCAACGGATTCATCAACAACGCATATTTGCGCGGCATTAAGGATAGCAAAACAAAGAAAAAATAGAAACCAAGAAAATTTGTGTTTGTTTTCTACTATTCACTAAATTCCAAAAAAAATATATATATCAAATCAAATACATATTTTTTATTTTTTTATATTATATTAAAAATCAATTTTACATTCAAAACAATACATCAAACCCTGTTTATATTACAATCATAAACTATTCAAATTCAAAATTTTTATTATTTAAATCTTAGCTCAAAATCCAAATCTCCAAACAAACACGCGCAAAATCGAGTGGTCGAGTAGACATAAAGAAAGGATATTTAGTGAATGGATTAATGACCTAATAGAACAATCGAACAAAATTTGCGTTTGTTTGGCGGATTTTGTAGTATTTTTACTATTCACTAAATCCATCCTCCCCGAAAACATCAAATCAAATATATATTTTTTATTTCTTATATTATATTAAAAATTAATTTTACATTAGAAATATCACATCAACCACTATTTATATCACATGCTATTATTCCAATTTAAAATTTTTACTATTCAAATTCAAACTCAAGATCTAAATCCCCAAACAAACACACCGTCGACGCAAAATCGAGTGGTCGAGTAGACATAAAGAAAGGATATTTAGTGAACGGATTAACAACCTGATAGAACAATCGAAGCGAATACGTAAGTATTTCCACATCGAAAGGATTACGACAAAGAAAATATATCAATAGTAATGAGTCGAAGATGAGTACCGTCGTCCATAAAGCAACTTTCGAAATGATCGAGTCGGGAGGCATATTTAGCGTTATTTGCGACAGTGTCGACTCTCCGAACATGAGAAAACCCACGACAGCGACGCCTCCGTATATGAGAACGCACAATGCAAAGCTGCGCAAGAAGACGAATACAAATTTTAGGATCGAATTAACCGTCGTGAGTTTATAGACGCAAATATATTTAGGATCGAATTAGTCGCGAGTTTATAGATGCGAAAAGGCCCACCATATTACGAGAGCTTCGGTGAACCTCGATTTATCGGTCATCGATTGGTAAATATTCGGGAATACGGAGTGCCCCGAGTAGCAAAACCCGTATACGCCGATCGCAAACGGGATCCCGTTCCATTTCACGAGCGGACCCGTTTGATTAAATCCGATACCGTCGACGATCCCAAGCAAAGGTAAGCAAATAACGATGATGATCGTTGCAAGAACGCCTCCGGCTGCGAAACAAATCACGAGAACAAGATTATCGACGACGATGATGTATAAACATGTCGAGAAAATCGATACCCCTTTTCCACGTACCTGAAAGATACGATATAAGTCGAAGATCCCTCAACCAAACGGTCGGGAGGACAATAACAGCCGTGAGAATGCCAAACAAGTGGATCGAGTCGAGCTTAACGCCACCGAATTTGACGCTCGTTCCCGGGAATATCCTCGTGAGATTGTCGCCTTCCAAAATGATGAACTCGACGCAATACGACTGCATTGACAAAAAAAAAATTAACGAACCCGTCTAGAGTCTGGACACTTTAACACCGACGTCTTATCCTCTCAGTCACCTCATTTTGCACTTACATATAGCTCTGCATACAAAATTATCTGCAACAAGGCACACCAAAAACCGATGAATTATTCGATTTCCACAAACTTTCAAAGATCGAAAAGCAAAACAATCACATTTTTATCACTCGGAAAAAAAAAAAAATTACCGAAACGGCGAGGCGCCCGAATCTTCCAAATGCCGCTTGTCCGATGTCCGGGTAAGTCATGATCCCGTCACGGCTCTCGAAACAGTATCGCATAAGTGTCGCCGTGTAGCAACAGATCACAGCGAAGAGTACCAACACTAGCAAGCTAATCCAACCGGCTTCCGTCACCGTATACGGCGTCGAAAGTAGCCCGACGCCGGCCATTACGTTTATACCTATCGTTTAAGCACAATAATTTCACAGTAGTGTTTTTTAACTATCCAAAAACACATCTAACAATTATTTCACCTTAAAAATATAAAAATCCAAAACACAATCATAAAAAAAAGTAACACGTCTAACAATTATTTCACCTTAAAAATATAAAAATCCAAAACACAATCATAAAAAAAGTACTACCTCCGTCTGACAACAAGAGCATCATTTGTTTTTTGCATGTAGATTTTTAATATTAATATTATATTGATTTGTAGTGAGAAAGACAAAAATGTTTATATTAGTATGATATAATATAAAATAATGATATTTGTGTAATATATTGTAAATTATTAAGATATTTATTATGTTAGATTAGTAGTACGATTACTAAATAAAGAAATGATACATTTGTTTTGAAATAAACAAAAATAGAAAATAATATCTTTTTAAACTTTTTAAAACAATAACAAAATAGAAAACCAAACAAACATAACTTCTAGCCAAGTTAAATTCTAGCACCAATGTTTTTGTTATTTTTTTTTTACCATTCATTATTTTACATTTTACCTTTAACATATAACATCCAAATATATATATATATATATATATTATCAAAAGAAATTCATATTGGAATTTGGTTTTTGATTAAAGTTTGAATATTATTATCTTTTATCTTGTTTGAGAAAAATGGTGTATTTTTACATAGAATTGCAAGATTGCATAATAAGAAAGAACTTAAAACAAAATTTGAAAGTATATATTACGAAAATACAATTATTAAATTAAATATTCCCTCTATGCCGTCAGAAGAATATCATTTTTTATATTTATCTGTCTCCAGAATAAGAGTATCATTTCCTAATTTAATTATTGTACTACCTACCTAACATAATAAATACGCTCACAATTTAAAATATATTATAGAAATATCGTTATGTTTATATTACATCAACCTAATAGGAGCATTTTTATTTATTTATTTTTTTTATTTTTTTTTGTCAAAACAGAGATAGTTTATTTATTTTTGTGTAAATATCATAATCAATACATCCAAGCATCACCAAGTTGGTTGGGGTTGGGATTGCATTTTGCTCGATTTTGCAATAAAATTTGATTTAATATAAATAAATTTTTAATACTACAACCGTCATCTCAATTGACCGGACATAAATTTTAAAAAATAAATAAAGAAAAAAAAAACTATACTTTCTTCATCAGTCAATTGTATACTTATTCGACCAGACACGGATTTAAAATAAAAATAAAATAAAAATAAAATTTTTACTATTTTGAATAAAAAAATAAAAAAAATAGTATTTTTTTACTTAAAAAAATAAAAATAAAGTTGAATACCAATTAAAAAAAAAAAGTAAAAATAAATTTGAGCGACCGGATGAGTAATAAAGAAAAAATTAAAAAAAAATCTAAAAGGGAAAATAACAATATTTCTTAGGAAAATATATATATATAAATCTGAATGACAAATATTTAATTTGATAATCCATATTTGAGTTTAAGAAAAAAAAGAAAAATTAATAATGAAGCTTGAGCCCAAACAAACGTGACCTCAAAATTCGCCTACCACAAATTCACAGTGAGTTAAAAAATGGCAGTGAGTTTAACTACAGAGTAAATTTTTTGTTACCGTTGAATATTGTCTGAGAAAGGCTACATCCATAGCCGACGGGAAGTTCACCAGCAATTTGCTCATGTAATGAAAACGAAGCCTTCTGCAACCACGACAAGTGCGCGGCGGAGGCGGCGGCGTCTGTCTGCTTGTCTTTCTCCTCAACACTCTCCTCTTTCGACAGAAAACTCGTTCTTACATCCGATTGCAGATAATTACTGTCCGAAAACGAATACGCAGCGCTCGTACTACGGTGTCCTAAGTTCCCAAAATACGGCGACGCAGAAATCGTGTAAGAATCCGTCGTCTCTCTGCTCACAAACACAACAAATTAATAAAAAACAAGAAATCCAGTACAACTGAAAATCACAATCACAAGCACAATTCACACGATTCGCGATTTATTACATCGCCAGACGAAATCGAGAAAAATTATTAAAAAATCGATCGGACAACAGCAGGATTAGGGTGAAATCTTACTTGAAACTCTGAGGCCATTGCAGAGACGAGAAACGATCGTCGTCGTCTTCGGCGGCGCTGTCTTCACTGGTGCTGCTGCCATTGTCGGATTTTCGATCATCGTTCAGTTCGACGTCGTCGTCGGAGTTTTCGAGGAGGTATTCCGATGACTGTCTGGAGCTCCGGTCCATGTCCGATTGCCGAGGAAGGAAGAATTCGAGAAACGCCTAAAATGTGAGTGAGTGAGGGAGAGGGAATGGACGAGGAGGTTCTAGAGAATGAAAGAGGAAATTTATAGGAGGAAGAATATGTTTGGACATGTGTATGCTTATCAAAAGAATTTGCAGACAAAAGCCCACTTGTTGTCGGAACGAAGAATAATTAGTACATTTTTTTTTATTGAGCAAAAATTATTTTTTGGTACCATCAAATATTATAATTATTAATTTTGATTTTATTCAAAAAATTTATTAATTTTAATCTCATTAAAATAAAAATTTATCAAATTTAATTCAAAAATAGTTTATTGGGACTGAACACGGCTGTGTTGGCTTGAACACGGCCATGTTGAATGACCCAGAAGGTGATTGGGCGCAGCCAACACGGCCGCATTGATTACCCTGCACTTTTGAACACGGCCGTGTTGCTACCCGTGTTCTGAACACAGCTATATTTCTGCTCATGTTTCAACACAACAATGTTTTAGACCATATTTGATATATATATATTTATAATTTAACGAAATATTTTTTACAATTTATATTAAATAATTTTAGTCAAAAAGTAAAAATAATAATAAATATGACTTACAATATAATTATATTGAAAACATGATCGTGAACATGGCCTACAACATGGTTGTGTTGAGAATATGAGTAGGAACATGGCCTAATATGATTGTGTTGAAAACATGGGCAGAAACATGGATGCGTTCAGAACACGGGCAGCAACACGGTTGTGTTCAAAAGTGCAGGGTAATCAACACGGCCTTGTTGGCTGCCTGGGACGACTAGTCACCTTCTGAGTCATCTAACACGGCCGTGTTCAAATCAACACGACCGTTTTTAGTCTCGGTCACCTATTTTGGGGCTAAAATTGATAAATTTTCATTTTATTGGAACCAAAATTGATAAATTTTTTCGAATGAAACTAAAATTGATAATTATAATATTGAATGTGACAAAAAGAATTTTTACTCCTTTTTAAATTAATTTGTCTCATCTTTCTATTTTTATATGCAGTCTCTTGTTATTATTTTTTTAATATAATTATATATTTTAAAATTTATAATTATAATTTCTTATTAAATTTAAATTTAAATTTATAATTATTTTTATTAAATTATAATTATTTTTAAAAATACACTATTTAATTAATTACTAAATTATTCAATACCTAAAATTTTGTATTAAATTATAAAATAATTATAAAATAGACAATTTAAAATAGAGGAAGAGAATATTTTATTTCTGATAAAAAAAAATAATTATTATTATTATTTTATTAAATACCAAAAGAAATCCATCGGTCGGCCCACCCCACCAGTGTCTATTTCTTCCTATATTTTTGTTTGGATTTCTGTGGTTTTGATTATATAGTCATTTTGAAGAGTTTGTGTTTCTTTAGCCGAGTTTCTCCAAATTTTACTATTTGAATTTTGTATTTTTTATATAAAAAAATATTTTTTCCTTTCACAAAATATTCCATCAAATATTATTTTTATACTAAATCCAAATCAATTTTTTTTTCCGAACTTATAAAAAGAAACACTATTATTTTTTTTAATAAAAATGGTGGGTGTAGGCGCTTTTTTTTCTTTCAATATAATAATATTTTATTAATTAGTCAAAATATTTAATACATATTTTTAATATTTTTATTTTAAAAAATATAAAATAAATTAAATATTTTTATAAAATGTAAAAATATTTTGATATTTTTAAATATAATTATTTCTACTATAATTAAAAAAAATTATTTTTAAATGGAATAGATAAAAATAGTACATTGAGTTTTGTGTAAATGAATTGTTAAATACAAAAATCTATCAACAAGCAGTAGATATATATACTTCATCCGCGCACAAAAAAGTGTATATATATATATTTATTTTGAATGGTCAAATAACTATTTTATTAAATATTTTATTTTTTTTATGAATATTCTTATTTAACCATTACTTGATTATTTTTATATAAGAAAAAGGGGCAAAATTATTTTAACTTTAATTTTAATTACCTACTATAATTAAAATATTATTATTTATAAAATTTTGTCATCAAAAATAAATATTTACCTATTAATCGGACTGAAGGAGTAAAAGATAAAATTTTGATTTGAATAAAAAAATATGATCCAAAATTTACAATGGACCTTTTGGGATTTTATCGTAATTAAAAGATAATATAGCTAAAAGGTAGTAGTATATGTTTACTTTTGGTGCAATATTTAAAAAATAATATTATTTTATTTATAGTAGATAGCTATACGTAATATAAAAATATATTTTTTATTTTTTTTGGTGCGGAGATAATGATGTGATGATAAATCATAGATATTTGCAGAAGAAAAAATTAAATATTTTTAAAATTGTTACTTTGTAATTAGATATTTCAAAATAAAAATATATTTAGGGTGTGTTTGTTTGGGGGTTTGGATTTTGAGTTGGGATTTGAATAGTAAAAATTTTGAATTTGAATAGTTGTATGATGTGATATAAATAGGGTTTGATGTGATGTTTTGAATATAAAATTGATTTTTAGTATAATATAAAAAATGAAAAATAAGTATTTAATTTGATGTTTTTGGGGGAAAAAAATTGGATAAATAGTGAAAATCCACCAAAATCCTTCAAACAAACACACCCTTACTTTATGAATGGGCAATACTAATAATATTTTATTAATAGTGACCATGTGTAAAATAATGTTGATATTTTAACTCCATTTGATTTATATATAAATGAATTGTATATGTAATTGTATATTTATAATTTATGTAAAAATTAAAAGAATATTACTTTCTCCGTCTACACACAAAGTAAACATTTACTTTTGGAGCGTTATTTAAGAAATAATAGTATTTTAATTATAATGGGTAGTTAAAAGACGTGTAATGATATTTTTGTCCTTACTTTTTAGTGTAAAATTAACGATGTGATGTAAAGTAAAAATATTTGTAAAAAAAAAAAGAGATATTTAATAAAATATTTACTCTGCAATCGGACATTCCAATATTAAAATGTGTATATCTTGTAGTTGTACGGAAGGAGTAATATTTAATTATTTAACTATACACTTCCGAATAAAATAGATAAAAAATGGTTAAATAATATTTTAAATTCAAAAGAATAAAATATAAGAATATGTGATGATACTAAAATATATTTAAAAATATAAATATTTAATTTAATGTTTTAAAATAATACTTTGCAATCATGATGATGAATAATACTCTCTCTATTAAGTTAGAAAGTATACATATTTTAATTTTGGGACGTCCAATTACAAAATATATATTTTATTAAATACCTCACTTTTTTCAACAAATACCCTTATTTTACATCATATCGTAACTTTTACATTAAAAAAACAAGGGCAAAAATATTATTTTACAATTTTTAACTACCTACTATAATTAAAATACTATTATTTCTTAAGCACTGCGCCAAAAGTAAATGTTTACTTTGTGTGTGGACGGAGGAAGTATTTCCTTTGTCCCACATCTCATATTCATTTTTCTATTTTCGTTCGTCCCATTTATTTTATTATTTTTTTTAGAAAAAAATTATAACTACCCACTATAATTAAAATACTATTATTTCTTAAACACCGCGCCAAAAGTAAATGTTTACTTTGTATGTGGACGGAGGGAGTATTTCCTTTGTCCCACATCTCATATCCACTTTTCTATTTTCGTTCGTCCCATTTATTTTATTATTTTTTTTAGAAAAAAATTATACACTTTAATTTTATTTTAAAAAAAATTAATTTATATTTTTTTTAAATTTTAATTATAATAATAAATTATTTTAATTTTAATTTATAATTAATTTTATTATATAATAAATATTTTTACTAATATATTAATTATATTCTTTTAAAATTTTCGTATTTATAATAAAACAGATAAAATATCCGAGACTGAGGAAGTAGTAGAATATAAATAATGAATATTTAGAATGTCTGTGACTGATACCTGAAAATTTAATTTGGTTAGGCATCCCTCTAAAAGGTCTTGTCTTGTGTCACTTATCCATCAAAATGCAACACCACCACTGCTTTGATTTTGATTTTTAATTTTTAATTTTAATAATAAAATTTTGAATTGAAATAATTGAGAATTAATTATTAAAAATAATAAAAAGTGTATTTATTTGTAAAATTTTGATTTTGATTTTTTATTTTTGATTTTGAATATATAAAATTTTAAGTTGAAATAGTTAGTTGGTTTGATATAAATATATATATTGATGTGATATTTTAAATATAAATTTTTTATAAGTATACTATAATAAATAAATAAAAAAACGTTTGATTTGATATCTTTTTTAAAAAAAATTAAAATAGTAAAAACAAAAATCAAATTCTACGAATAAACATTCCCAATTAAAATAAATAATAAAATATACTTTTTTCGTCCCACTTTTTATGTCTAGTTTATAGATACAAAAATTTAATTGAGTATAATTAGTAAATAATTTAAAAATATATTAGTAAAAATAATTATTAATATATAATTATAGATTAAAATTAGACTAATCAATTTATTTAATTAAAATTTTGAAAAAATTATTAATTATAAAATTTAAAATATGATTAAGTATATAATTTTTTTTTTTAAAAAAAAGAAGACGGATAAAATTGTACGGACAAAATTAGAAATAGTAAAAAAATAAAGTAAAATGAAGAAAGTATAATACTTTCTCCGTCCAACTAGAAAGTATACATATTTTTATTTTAGGACGTCCAATTACAAAGTAAATATTTCATTAAATACCTCTTTTTTTTTCTTCCACAATTACCCTTATTTTATATCACATCATAACTTTTACACAAAAAAAGTAAGGGCAAAAATGTCATTACACTACTTTTAACTATATATTATAATTAAATACTATTATTTTTTAAACACTACGCGAAAGACCGAATTACTTTTTTAATAAAAAAATTATATCAAATTATAATTCCACGTAATTCCAAAAAACACAAGCAAACATTCGCTGCATATCCCGACAAAAATTAAGGTATGGTATGTTAGAAAACAGTGAAGGGATGGGCAGAGTCGCCATCAAAACTATGATATGGAACATAAGTTGATACACTGAATTTCGTAGGATTTTGCTGTTATATACCCTTTGATCCACCTTTTTTTTTTTTTTTTTTTTTAAATGACGTAAAAATCTGCAGCCGCGATACGAAAATGTACACAGAAAAAACTTTCAACCGAATTTAATACTCTGCGATCCACTTTTGTTTTTGTAATTCGGGTCCCACACGAATATAAAAAAAATATTTTATTAAAATAATGATAAAAATAAAAAAATAATTGAAAATATTTTTAAAAATTTAATTAAAAATTAATGTAAATTTAAAAAATAATATAATAAAAATAGTGATATTTATTATAAATATGTACTTATTACTCTTCGAATGTACTATAGATAAATAAATAAAAATAAATCGCACTCTAATCGTGTTTCTTTTTACCTATGTAACACAAGCACAACAATAAGTGTTTGTTTGGGAGATTGGATTTTAAATTCACTATTCATTTTATTTTTTTTTTCAAAAACATCAAATCAAACACTTATTTTTTATTTTTTATATTATACTAAAAATTAATTTTACATTCAAAACATCACATCAACAATTATTTATATCACATCATACAACTATTCAAATTTAAAATTTTTACTATTCAAATCTCAACTCAAAATCAAAACCTCCAAACAAATACATTTATATAAATATAATAACAATATTTTTGTTTAATATATTTTGATTTCATTTGAAATGTAAGTTATATATATATTTTTAAAAGTTTTTTAATCAGTAACATAAAGTGATAAAACTGCTATAAAATATGCTATTAAAACTTAAGTTATAATTTTGAGGACAAAATTAAATATATATAATAAATTAAAAAAAATATATCAAAAAGTATACTCATTCTGTCACATAACTAGATATTCATTTACTTTTTGAAATGCACATAGTTTTATATATATTAGTATTACTCCCTCTGTCCCGCAACAAGGGTGGCGTTTGCTTTTTGCACGTAGATTTTTGAATATTAGTATTATATTGGATTATAGTAAAAAAAAGACAAAAATACCCCTATTAGTATGGTGTAATATACAAGTAATGACATTTGTGTAATATATTGTAAATTGAAAGAATATTTATTATGTGAAGTATGTAGTACAATTACTAAATTAGGAAATAGTAACCTTGTTTTGGGACCGACGAAAATGGAAAATGGTAACCTTTCAATTGGACGTGAGGAGTATATTGCTATATAGTAGGAATAAAATACAAAAGATTAAAATAACTTTATTAGTATTGTGTGAGATAAAAGTAATGACATTTGCTTAATATATTGTAAGTTGTAAGAATATTTTTAATGTTAGGTATATAGTACAATTATTTAAAAAGAAAATGAATACTTAGGACACACCAAAATGAAAAATTAGATAGTTTATTAAGGGAACGAATGAGTATATACATATTATGTCATGACAATAAATTTTAATAATATTATATATTATATTGCCATAATTAGAAAGAAAAATTTAAAAAATAAATTATATTACAATACTTTATAATAACATTGTTATGAGTATTTTGGGCAAGAAAAAATAATTATACAATATAATCAAATAAAGTAAATATAATATTCATGCAGAGTAAACGTTATATTAATTAGTTCATTGATTATATAATCTATTAAAATAATCTGAGTATTATAATACAATCCTTCAAACTAAATGCACAATTAAAAAACAGCTCTCACTTGAACTATAATGATACTTCTCCATCCTCTATTCTTCCAATATGGACAACAAAAATCACAGCGGATCGTAACTGGGTGAATGTCCTACGGAGAAAGTTACGGCGGTTTACGGTGAAATCGAATGGAATTAAGGATGTCAAATGAGGCGGGTTAGCCCCGGATCCGCCCTGGACCAGCACTTAATTGGGTGAGTTTGAGTCTAAAACATATGTTTCGGGGCGGGTTGTGAATATTAAAGTTTAAACCCGGCCGGGTCCGGGTTTAAACATGAAATTCACTAAAAACCCGTCTTACCCCGGACACGGACCCGAATCCGAACCCGAACCCGGATATATAATAATTATTAAAATTAATATATTTATATAAGATAAATTATACTCCCTCCGTCCCAATACCATAGTCCTCTTTACCATTTTCATCCATCTCAAAACAATATTCTCATTTTTACAAATAATCATATCACTATAAAACTACCCTTACTTTTTCATTATTATTACACAATTGTCACTATTTTTTACACTAATACACTCACAAGGACAAAAAAGTCTTTTACTTGCACTTTTTACTCACAACTAATATAATATCAATATTCTTTAAATCTTGTGTCAAATACAATCCAGACTATAGTTATGAGACGGAGGGAGTATTAAATATTTATTTAAAATTTTAAGTATAAAACAGAATCCTAATTCTTAAATTTTACTATACAATAATTACTTTTCTAAATACATTTATTAATTACTTACTAAGTATACATTACCTAAATTCTTGTATCTACGGTAATAAACCCAAATTATTTAGGACGAAGAGAGTATTATGTACTGATAGTTCATTTCTTGCATGTATAATATATGTGTTGTTTGCACATATTAAGCGTGTGTTTGTTTGAGGGTTCGAATTTTAAGTTAGAATTTGAATTTGTAAAAATTTTAAATTGAAATAATTATATGGAGTGATATAAATAAGTATGGATGTAATATTTTGAATATAAAATTAATTTTTAATATAATATAAAAAAATAATGAATAAATATTTAATTTGATATTTTTTTTAAAAAAATTAATAAATAGTAAAAATCTAAAAAAATATATTAAATGAACACACTCCAAATGTATTGTCATCACAATGTCGAATATAATTATTCACCAGTGTAACAACAACCATATATATAGGCCGGGTTTGTTTAGTTTGTGTTTTAAAATAACTTTTTGGCATTAAAAAGATAAATAAATAAATAAATTTGCTTAAAATTAAATGTTATATATTCTGAGAAAAAATTAAATACTCCAATAATATAATTATATGATACATATGTTAGATTTTATATAATAAATATCGATCATTAATATAAAATATGTTCAAAATAAAAGATATCATATAAATTTCATATACATGTATAGAATCATGGTAATTTTCGCAATAAATTAAATAAATTTCGTTAGTAAAAGAATTATTGTAATTAATATTTTGGAGAAATAAAATAATATAAAAATTTGAAGAAAAAAAAAAAAACATAATCAACTTTCCTCAAAATTAGAAAATGACATTCAATAAAAAAGAAGAAAGTGTTATAAAGTATTTCTGTTGGCCAATCAAAATACGCCACGTGGCCTCATCCGAAAATAATTCCTCCTTTATAAATAGGGGTTAACGCCAAACTATTTATTACACCGAAATTTATTTAAAGATTTGAACATGAATAAGTGTCTCTAGATTTTCTTTATAGATTACTTTTCGTATTCTTCGAAACGTTTTTAATTAAAAGTCTCCAAGTTATAAAAATAATCTAATATTAGTTGACAAATTGACGAAATTAATATTTTTCGAAGTAAGTTCAAGCAAGAGAAGTAATCAAAACTCCAAAATCTGTGAAAGAATCTATCAAAGCCAAAAAAAAACTCCCAATTTAATCCCAAAGTTTCAAAACATTCGATCGTGTTCTTTGTGATATCTTCAAATTTAGCCATTTTAAATGTATAAATTAAAAAATATATACTTGTTCCGTCCACCCTTAATGTATTTGTTTTTCCATGGTAATTTGTCCGCCCCTTAATTTATTCGTTTTATTTTTTTTTATAGTAATTGTACTTCATTATTTAAGATTAAGAGAAAAAAAATGCTCTTACACCTTATATAATATTATAAAGAATGTCATTAAGAAGGAAATGAGTTTAAGGGAGAATATTTTTTTTATTCTTATATTGTAATAAAAACTTCATCTGTTCCACCTTTTTCGTCCACTATTTTTATTTTCGTCCATCTCAATGTATTTGTCCTATTTTTAGAAAATATAATTATACACTTTAATCATATTTTATATTATTACCCCGGATTTGGGCCTTTGTTTGGCAAACTCTTGTGTGTAGATGAGCCGGTATTAGGTTATCCGAAGTTGATTAGAGGTTAAATGGATTGAATAGACTATTTATGTCAACAATGTACACATTCCTTTTCAAAATTCCTACTGAAAAAATTCCAGAGTTAAGCATGCTTGTCCGATAGTAATTTGAGGATTGATGACCCTTTGGAAAGTTCCTAAGGTGCGCGTGAGTAAGAACAGAAGCGCGTTGGAATGACTCGTGTTGACCTATAAAGTCAGTATACAATCCCGACACATCTGGCTTTGCATGGCTTGCAGGTCGGTGTGTCACAATTGATATCAGAGCGGACCTGCGACAACCCATATTTGTTGACCTAACTGTTGAGGGGCCTAATAGTTAACGATCCTTGGGGTGCATTCTAAAATGGGGGAGGATGTGGTACCCCTGGAATTGGGTCGTTGCTTGACCAACTCCCGTGTGTGAATGAGTCGATATTAAACCATCCAAAGTTGATTAGATGTTAAATGGATTGAACCGACTACTCATATTAATAATATGCACGTTCTTTTTTGAAATTCCTACTGAAAAAACTCTAGAAATAAATGTACTTGCCCTAGAGTAATTTGATAGTGGGTGACCCCTGAGAAGTTTTCTCTGAGTGAGGACAGAAGTTGGAATGACTTGTGGGACTAGTTTACAATCCCGACACATCTGATTTTACGTAACTTGTGGGTTGAGGTGTCACTGAGGGACTATTTATTTTGGACAACAAACTATAAAAACAAATGTAAATTTGGTAGACGAAAAGAGATAGAAAACACTATTTAAATCAAAGTTGAAGTTAAAACTTACTGTGCGCTTGTTTAGTATTTTTCAGCTACACAACTCTCCGAAAACGAACATTTGAGAGTTTAAATAGTCGAGAGTTCTTAGACACAACATAAATAAATATACGGAGTTAAGGATGCATGATAATAACGAACGATCCCTCGATGCTACATATATAATACTTGTTGTTTTTCCTTACTTGATCCGCTCCACAAATCGATCACCAATAACAAAGTCTACGGCCTTCTATCAGAGCAAATTTGAATATGGTTGCGAGGCTTCCTTCGTTGATTCTTTGGCGGGGAACTCTTGTTAGGTAGATCGTGCACTTCCACGACTTGGATTTTTCTTCGCTTCTTTTCTGCACAAGAGAAGCTCGTCAAAATAAGAAAAAATATATATATACATATTATTAATTATATATATCTTTGATGAGAGTAGTTTAGATACAAGCCATTCTCAATCGCGCGATAGCGCTCTTGCAATTTCTTCTCGGCATCCTTAATATTCATCTCAACTTTCTTGTCTTTGCGCTCTTGCAATTTCTTCTCGGCATCCTTAATATTCATCTCAACGTTCTTCACTTTGATGATCTTCTGAAAGAGGAATAAATCCGGCGAAGCGTTTTTAGCTATAAATAATATGTAAACACAAAAAGGGATATTTTGATATTCTTGAGATGCTCACATTTTGTCGAGGAGGCATTGGCTTGTTTTGAACAGTGTCGTTTCCAAGTGTTTTCTCGAGCTTTCGATTACCTTGCACTTGCCCTTTGTATTTGATAACTAGTTTTGGTCTCTTGGGACCGGAATCACTAGTAATAGGAGGCGTTGGCTTGATTTGCCCGGCATCGCTGTTGGGCGGTGTGTCTTTTTTCTGTTCACCTTTTGGAAGAGTATCATGATTGACAGGCTTCTCAAACTTTCCGTCATTTTTCTCTATACTTGACTTGGTGCTATTCGCTTGGTTTGTGTTGGAATCTGAAAAAAAAAAAAAAAAAAAAAAAAAGAAAGAAAAAATTTGGTTTCGAAAATTCAAGAAAACAAGCTAGATTGACAACGAGGGCGAAGCTCACGGAAAACTACCTACGACTTCGTCCTTAGAATAAACCCATTGTGCGACAACGTTTCTCCAATCCCTGCATTTTCAACCAATGTGATTTTATATATAGTCTCGTTCTGGTGACAAAAAAAGGATAACCACATCATAGTAATAAAATTACAATGACTTGATTTGTTCATTCAATATTTTCACTAGATTTTTGACAAAATTAATTATAAAATACATTTTGTTTGAAAATTTTGCATCATATTTCTTCACATAATGAGTTAGACTTACGGAATTTTATATAATATTTTAAAAAATACAAGAATTTCGCACTATTTTTAAATCATGAAGAAGAAAGGTGCCGTAATTACTAGCAATTTTGTCAGTTCTTTTCAAAATTATCACATCAAATTATTATTTTCAATTAAACTCGAGAACAATTAAAACAGAAGCATACCTAACAATTACTTTCGCAAGGTCTCGAACTTCTTTCGATGCTCGTTTTCGGAGTGCGTTGACAGATCTTCCGATATCGGTAGCCTAAAATCGAGCAAGTTAAAATTTATTACAATAAACTAGCAAAATCAGACAATGTAAATGCGAGCCAACCTTGAGAATCTCTATCGTCATAGGAATCGATTGAAGCCTCTTCAATGAATCGAGCAACAACGTATTCGTCTGTTGTCGTTAAAAAAATAATAATAATAATAATCAAATCAAAACAAGAATTCTTTCCAAGTTTTCCTCAATTTTTTACTATTTGGACAAAATACATTCCCCTCCCCCCACCCACAAAATATCACATAAACATTATATAAAAAAATAAAAAAAAATTTCAAACCTTCAAACTCAATTAAGATCGAAAAAATACACTAAGATACTTAAAAAAATAAAATAAAATAAAAATCGACCTGATCGTCACTAGCATCGACAATTTTTTTAATCTCTATAACTTGGATCCGATAAGAGTCGCCAGTGGCGGTCTTGTCCGAATCTCCACAACCATAATTTTTCGCGACATGATTATCATTAGTATTCGAATCTTTGCTCTCCGTCCGGCTTTCCATAATCGGTTTCACGGCGTATATCGCCCGCGCTATTTCGTCTCTTCTCAACTTAAATTCGTCGTGACAATCGACGGCGGCAACTTTAATGGCATTCTCGATAACTTCTAACACGCCGGAACCCGTGCTCCGGAATAACTCGCGCCATTGATCGAGATTATTTTTATCCATGTTCTGAAGAAAAAAAAAAAAAAAATTAATCTGAAACCAAAACTCAAAACCAAAATCCTAATTAGATCGGAAAAAAATTATTTCTTCGGCGCAAATCGAAAACATAAAATCGAACTACAAATCTCGACAAAGTTTCATACAATCAGCAGCTCAGAAATTTGTAGAAATGGAAATCTGATACAAACTACGACCAAAACCTGAAGAACATCGAAAACAATCTGAAGAATGGGGAAAGAAAAAGAAAGAAAATTTGGAAGCAAGATTTATGAATAGTACCTTGAGGGACACGTTGGTTTTACATATGGAATTTTTCTTTTTTCGTTTATATATATAGAGAGAGATATTTTTTTTTTATTTTGCATATATATATATATATATACCACAAAACGTTTGGAAATTTTAATTAATTTTACCCTACGACTTTCCTATTTTGAAAAAATAAGGCTTTTTTTACATTTCCGTGTGCATAAGGGTAACATTTATCTTTTATCTCATTGTACTAAATATTCAATATATTTTTATATTTGTATAATTTTTTATCCAAATATCATTATATTAGTATTATAAAACAGTAATTGAAGTATTTTTGCAAATTTTTCTTAATTTGTACTATGTTTTGATATAATAATTAAATACTTAGGGTGTGTTTGTTTGGGGGATTGGATTGGATTTACACTGTTCATCCAATTTTTCCCCCCAAAAATATCAAATCAAACACTTATTTTTCATTTTTTATATTATACTAAAAATCAATTTTACATTCAAAATATAACATCAACACCTATCTATATCACATCATACAACTATTCAAATTCAAAATTTTTTACTATTCAAATCTCAACTCAAAATTCAAACCCCCAAACAAACACACCCTTAGAGTCGGAAAGAGATAGTAATATTTTTGGAATTTAATATATATTATACTCCCTTCGTCAATAGATAATTTTTTTCATTTATATTTTGAATGTTAATATTTAAATACTAATTATTATATTAAAGCATAATAAAAAAAAAAAATGACAAAAATATTTTTATCAGTGTCTTGTAATACTAGTATGATACTAACATAATTACATTTGTAAAAAAAAATTATACAAATATAAAGATATTTTTAATGTTAAAAACAATGACGTCAAATACAAATCGAAAAATAAAATTATTGGTGGACGAAGGTAATATAAATATAGTTTTGTTTCGGAACCATTAATGTGTTTGGTAAGTGATACCTTATTTAAGGTTAACGATAATATATTAGTGATATAATTTTATTACTTATTTCTTTTCTTTTTTTTTTTTTTTCACGTGAGCGTCGTTGTTGATATTTTTAAAATAAAAATTGATATATATAATTAAAATAAATTTAAAATATATATTTAAATATTATATTTTAATAAAATCAATATAATATAGATATTATATCGTAGAAATAAAATTGTATATAATAAGGTAATATATTTATTTATTTATGATTAACATACACTAATTTTATAAATTAAAAAATTGAGAGTTTCAAATAAAAGATAAAAATATTTATTTATTAAAAATGAATATAAATAAAAAGGTTTTGAGTTGATATTACTATACTAGAATTTAATTAAATTGATTTATATTTGTTAAAGTATTATTCAATTTTTAAGAAAAAATCAAGTAAATAATTTTTTTCTCTTATAATATATAACATCGTATACCAAAAATTTAATATTTAAAATTTTTTAAAATTCTAAAATCTCAAAAAATCTTCTTCGGAGCCTAAATTAATTTTTTTTTTAATTTACATTATCTCAAAACTTTGTATTTTTTATTTAAACATTATTTATCATTTTAAAAATAATTTATAAAACTATTTGACACAATAAGTAAGAAAAAAAAATATCAAAATAATATTATCTAAAATAGTGTGTCAAAAATAAAAATAAAGTAATATTAAATCTACTTTATATATATAACGTGAGTATTAAATTTATTTTTAAAAATATGATAGGAAATCTTATCTGCAATAATAAATTTTGTTGAACTGTTTTCGTTAGTTGGATTTTTAATATATATACTACAAGAAAATTTTCAATAGCCATTTATTAATAATTTTTTAATTTTTAAAATTATATATATAATTTGAATACGATAATTTATATATTTAATATGATAATTTGAATGTAATGTATATATTATAAAGATAAAATAAAACAATACAAACAATATTTGTGTAGGTAATATAAAAATAATGAATATATATAATATATTAATTTTTTTAAAAAAAAATATGTGTAATATTTTTTGAAAAAAGAACACACATTAATATATTTTTTAACAAATTATAAATTATAGTTATATAATGATAATAGAGATTAATGTGTATAATTTTCTAATTTAAAGATAATTATGTTTATAATATTTTTTCTTTGCAATGATTTTTAAAAAAAAAACAATTTATAAACTATCTTTGTTTAACAAATACACATAGGATGTGTTTGGTGGCGAAACTAGCCTTCGAATTATAAAGTGATAAATTTATGATAAAAAGAAATTTAATACTCCCTCCGTCTCATATACCGTGTCTGCTACACTGTAGACACAATATTTTAGGAGAAGTATAATTAGTAGATAATTAAGAATATATTAGTGAAAATAATTATCCTATAATATAAATAATTATAAATTAAGATCAAGATAACTAATTAGTTTAATTAAAATAAAAAAAAAAATAAAATTAAAAAATTTAAAATGAGATTAAAGTGTGTAATCATTTTCCAAAAAAGAAAAATGACATGGTATGTGGGACGGACAGAAACGGCAACGTGGACATGGTATCTGCGACGGAGGGAGTATAATAATTTTAAAAAATATAGTACTATCTTCGTCCCATAAAATCAGTATCATTTGTCTTTTACGTCATTGTACTTAATATTAAAAATATTTTTATATTTGTATAATTTACTTCACAAATGTCATTGCATTTGTATTATAAAAGACTAATAGAAGTATTTTTATAATTTTCTCTTGATTTGTACTACGTGTTGATAAAAATAATTAATATTCAAATATCAACTAGCAGAAAACCCATGATACTCTTCTTACGAAACAGAATAATATACTTTTTACACTAAAAAAATTGGGGTTTGCCTCGGATAGATTTGCCATTGGGTAACTTTGTTTTTGTTTTCTCGTTATATTAAATTGTTGTTAAAAGTTTGTTTATTCGGTATTTATTTTTTTATTATTTAATTTTCATCATTTATTTTTAAATATTACTTCCTCCGTCCCACATAATTTGTCCTTATTTTCTATTTTCGTCCGTCCTACATAATTTATCCTTTCTATTTTTGAAAATATAATTATGCACTTTAATCGCATTTTAAATTTAAATTTTATAATTTTCTTAATTTTAATATATATTTCTTAATTACTTACTAATTATACTTTACCTAAACTCACGTATCTACAGTAATAGTCCCATATTTTCTGGGACGGAGAGAGTACATTTTTTTTTTTTATAAAATATCATATTCAAATTACTATTTAAACTAAACAATAAAATAAAAAATACCAACTAAACATATTATACTTGTGTTAATTATGTATAAATAAAATATATTTTTTATTATTATTGTTCGTATTATATGAAAATTTATTTTTAAAAAAATGACACCTATTTTGAACATATTTTATTAAACTATAAATTTAGAACATTCAAAATTTATTTTTATTAAATTATATTATTTATTACAACTCAAATTATAACCAAATAAAATTCAATTTTGAACTACAATTTCAACTTATAACCAAATTCACCATAAAGTAAAAAAGAAGACTGTAAATTTAAATCCTTCTTAATTACCATCCCAACTAAGCCATTGTCGCGACTTTGCCCTTTTTATACGCCGCTTTTTAACTTTACCAACGTTTTTCCTACTTGTCCCATTTTGCGACCGGAAAACACGTTTTTTCTGACAGAAACCGGCGTGAATAGCGCTGTTCGAAATCGACCATAATGACACTGAAACGTGGTGAATGTGTATGCATCTTTATTAGTTATTTGTTTTTATTAATATCTTCGTAAAATTAGCCGATGTGTTCACTTTGTGTTTTTGAATAAATTTATTTTTATGTTAAATACTCTCTCAGTCCCATAACAAAATATCCATTTTTTTATTTTAATCCGTCTCATAACAAAGTATTCATTTCATTTTTTTTAGTAACTGTACTATCTACCTAACATTACAAATACCCTTACACCTTACAATATATTACACAAATGTCATTACCTTTATATTACACGTACTAATAAGATTATTTTAGTCATTTCTACTTTATTCCTACTATATCCTAATATAATACTAATATTTTTAAAACTACGTGCAAAAAGCAAATTGATACTTCTTTATGGGATGGAGGGAGTACAAAAAATTGAGTGTGTAGTATAAAAAATAATAATATATATTAAATTGTTGATTTTTTTATAAATGAATAAAATACATATTAATATATTGTGTTAATATATATATATATAATATGTATATAAATGATTATACCTGTCCAAGCTGGTTTGGCCAAACATATAAAATGCATTTATATATTTAATATTTATTTTAAAATTTTAATAGAAGATTTGAATTCCATCATAGATAATATATTTATGTAATAGTTCTTTTTTCTTCTTCTTATATAATAAAATAATTTTAAAATATATATTATTTAAATAAAATAATGTATATTGTGTACTAGAATATAAATATATATTAAATGTTTGTTTTAAAGTATTAATAAAAAAAATTATGAATTTTATTGCATATATTATTTTAATTATCTCCGTGTATGTTCATTATATTTTTTTAATTTTAATTACAATAATTACTTATTTTAATATTTAATTATTTATATTATATTATAATTATTTTTAATTATTATAACAAGAATAATTCATTGTGTACATATTATCTGAATTCTCCCTATAGATGTTGATTATAGCAAGTTAGCAAAAATAAGCGCAGTCTGAAAATTTAATTCAAACCGGGCACGAAAAAATTATGTTCTCGTCTAAAAAAGAGTTCGGAAAAAATTTGGACGGTGTTTGGGCCCGCACAAGTATGAACCGGGCCATGTCCAAGCCCAGCAAAATCGAGCCTGGCACAACCAAAAATTTTTCAGCCCTGTTTTGTTAAATCTAAATATTACTTCGATTTCACTTAATTTGTTCACTATTTCTATTTTCGTTAGTCTCACATAATTTGTTATTTTTTTTGGGAAATATAATTATACACTTTAATCAATTTTAAAATTCACAATTTATAATTTTTTTATTAATTAAACTATTTACTTATTTTAATCTTAATTTATAATAATTTTACCTATTAATTACACAATATTTAATACTCCGTGTCTAAGCTAAAAAGAACAAATTATTCGGAACGAAAAGAGTACGATATTTTTCATATCAAATTCGAGTGCAATTTTCGGATCATGCTTATTTTTGGTTGCTCGACTAATAAGTGATAACCATCCCCTCATTTCTTCCTAAGGATGCATTCATATATATATATATATATATTCACTCGATCATTTATGATATTCTTTCCTTGTGAACAAAGAAATTCCAACCTTCAATCTCTCTCAATTCCCCTTCCCCTTCCCCTTCCCCTTCCCATAAAACCCTAAATCTGAGAAGAATGAATTCCACACACAATTGATATAATTATTCCTGCAGCGAATTGAAGAATGGGGCAATTCCTCGGTACGTAACCTCTCTACCTCACCTTCATTCTCATTTCTCCTTCCTTAATTGCTTCAATTTCTAGATCTGAGTTCATCCGATCGATCGAGCGAATCGATTATTAATCCTGCTGGCTTCGATTGATTTGATTGTGCGCAGGTGCCGAGCAGAAGAAGGAAAAGGAAATCGGACCGATCATCGACTGGTGCTACGAGGACTACTTTTCCGGCGCCGGCGACGGTGAAAATTGGACCTCTGCGGACTTCTATCACGCCGTTTGCCAGACCGTCGAGTGAGTAATTGACAGTTACTTTGCTAATTTCAATATGTTCTGGATTAGCGGAATCGATTAATTACATAAATTTGGGTATGAATTTGGCAGAGAAATAAACAGAGCAATCGGTAGCACGCAGATTCGAGTGCCGCGAAGTGACACAGTTAGAGCTGCCTATGATGTGAGTGATGAGTTCGCACAAACACACACCTATAATAAATTTTCCAAAAATACACTTATTTAATTTTAACGTATTTTTTTAATATGAACTTTTCCCTATCTAACTGTCATATTTATTTTTGTTCATTATAGTCAAAGTTAAAACAAAGTATTTTTTTTCAATTTTTGCTTAATTTATACCACGTTTGGATATAATTATTAATATTCAAATATCAAAGGATATAATAATTAATATTCAAATATCACGCAAAAAGTAAAAAAGTTCTTAGAATCAAAGGGAGATAGTATTTTTGTATATAATAAAAAATTAATAAATTAATATTCATTCAACTTACTAAAAATTAATATGTATATTGATATATATAATTATTAAATTATCTTTATAAAATCTTCATTATTAAATTTGTTACAAAGTACTATTTTCGTCCGATTTTAAAGGTCACATTTACTTTTTGCATGTTAATTTTTTAATATTAATTATTATATCAAAATATATTACTAGTTAAAAAAAAAATAGCAAAAATACTTCCAATAATGTCTTATAATATTAATAGAATGACATTTGTACAAAAAATTATATAAATATAAACATATTTTTAATATTAAATATAATGACACAAAATGTAGACTCGGGAGTATTAAATTATTAGGGCGGTGACATGTATATTGTTTTCAAGTTTGATTTTATTTTCTTGTTTTAATTTTTTATTTTGCATTTAATATTTTGCAAGAAAAATAATACTTATGTTTTTATAAAAAATTATTATAATTATATATGAAAAAAAAATTAAAACTAAAATACAAAAGAACATAACCCATATGATTGATTGTTTGAAATTGAAAATTTTGGTTAGAGAAATAATTTTATTTTTTTTAAAAAGAAATTGGTTTATATTATTAAGAAAATAAATTAACATTCAACCTTTATTTAGAAATATCTAAAAAAAAAAAAAACATCATAGACTATAGAATATAATATAATGGTATATATATTTTTAATTACACTTGCAATTATTTGATCTATACCATTTTCAATAAAAAGAATATAATTTTTTTAAAATAAAATATCACTTCAGAATAATATTTAAACAAAAAACAAATAAATTCTAACATTGTATTCTTTTAATAATTTAGAAATAAGAGCATTTTTAGTCATTGTATATTGTGAAAGTAGTTCGAGAAATTGTAAAAGTATTTTTAAATAATTTTTATTATTTTTAAAAATATTTTATAAAAAAATACGGTATATTTTTATTGAAAAATATGAGTAAATTATTTACTAAAAACAATATATTCACATGAATTATCTTTTGCTGAAATTTTTTATGATCGAAGTAAGAACATTGATTATTCAGAAACACCACAAAGGCAAAGGAAAACGCTTGACGAAAAACGAGTTTCAAAACATCGTCCAAATGGTAATTCTCGACTCGGGAATCACGAGCTTTGGGGCTATAGAAATATTGTTGTATATATATGGAGCGCCGATAGCCGCTTGGGCCATAAAGCAACGTTTGGGTCCTAAGTCGATCCCAAACGAAGTTTTCATTCCCGCAATAACCTCCGCCACCGTCTATCTTCTTGCCAAGCTTAGCAAGATTTGATGTAATAGTTTCGTCGAACTAAACATTAATTACCCCAAATGTGGCCTCATTTATGTGTGGAGCTGGAGCTATCGTTGAGTTTTATACGGCCTTCTGAAATCATTGGAATGATAAATATTGTCAGATCTGAGTGGTTAATTTGTTTGTTTGCATCTAAGCATATTGTATGATTATAATCAGACCCGTTTTCGAGTTTCGAAGGCCTGGGTGAAAAAAAAAAAATCGGACCTTTATTAAATAATTTTTATATAAATAATTAGATAAATAAATAATAAAAATATATTGTGTTATCTAACAAAATATTACGTCAAATTATTTTTCCTGACTATAAAAAAGAGTAACATTTTCTAATTTTGATTGTCCATGGGTTTATTTCTTTAAAAATAAATGTCTGCTCACTTCACTTTACAAATATCATTCCAATCATATTTATTTACATAATATTTTTTCTGTCAATAAACTTTTTATTTTTACCATTTTGTTTGTCCAAGTTAATTTTTCATTTTTTTAGAAAAAATAATTTTTAAGTAAATGACAAAATACTCTTATTTTTTACTTTTCACGTCACTTTTATTTTAATGTCAATGATAAATTGAATATTACACTATTTTATTACATTATATATTTATAAGATACTAATTTATCAAATGAGAAGCTTATTATTGGGCGGAGAAAGTATCATTTAATTACAAATAAACTTATAATGGTAAAATGGTCATTCAAAGTAAAATAATACAAAAATAACTTATAGGACAAAAAAAAAAAAAAACTAAAATTTGAAATATGGTATATCCAAGAGAATAGTTTTTCATTTTAATACTATTTCGCCCAACTTTAAGAGTCTCATATACTTTTGAATGTTAATTATTATATCAAAATGTAGTACAAATTAAAAAATAAAAATTACAAAAATACTTCAATTAATATTTTATAATACTAATAGAATGACATTTGTACAAAAAATTATAGAAATATAAAAATATTTTTAATGTTAAATATAACGACGCAAGAGTAAATATGACCTTAGAGGCGGGAGTATTTTTTATTCTTTATTTGTATTTAAAAATTAATACTTCATGTCACACATATATTAATATATTTTTATTGCAATATTGGTTAATTATTTTAATAATATTTTTTACTTACTAAACTATAATTTTATTTTTACAAATCTAAAATACTTTAAAGAATTTTTATTTTTTCTAAAGAGCTTTATAAAATTGTAAGTGAGAAATTATTATTATTATTAATTGCAGAGCTTAAATCCGCCTTAATGGCCAAATGTCATAAACGTGGCCATTATCTTCATCCTAATTTTAGAGACGTACGAACAGAGTTTTCTTCGACCATACATCCCACGGCCCCTTTCTATGATCATGCTGTCGGAAAACCGATTGTTCTCTGATTATTATAGTTTACGCAGATTTTCTGTCCCACATTTTGACCAATTTCTTTGCCATTCCTTGGTTGATGCAGAAAGGGGACAGACAGAACATCGACGACGATGACAATGACGACGATGATCATCTCGCAAATCTCCTAAAAATGTCGACGACAAGCTTTTGATTTTCGTGCACTGTTAGGAAGGAAGAAGATTAGCAGAAGTTGTTCAAAAACGAAAAGGATTTTTGTTCGAACGTAAGGTGTTCGACGAAATGCCTGACTGAGATCATACGCTGCAATAAGTAAAACAGATTGGATTTCCAATGCCCTGATCGATTCTACCATTTCTATCTCCAAAAATCGTACTCCCTCCCTCCCATATAATTTCCCCCTATTTTCTATTTTCGAATTTTTTTAATCTTAGTTATATTATTTAATTATCTTAATCTATAATTATGTTTGCTCGTACACTTCTTAATTATTTACTAATTATATTTTATCTAAATTTTCGTATCTACAGTATAAAAATGAAGGCCTGGGAGGCGACGGTTCGGAAAACGCAGGCGGCGGCGAAGAAGCGCGCCAACACGATATTCGGGACGTCATACGGGACGGAGAACGCCGAGGAAGAAATCGACGATCAAGAGGCCGAGGAGGAAGTGCACGCGAGCGGCGAGTCGTACCATTCGGAGAAATTCCTCCCCAACGGCGACTACTACTCAGGTTTTTGGGTCGACAACTTCCCGCACGGGCAAGGCAAGTATTGGTGGACCGACGGGTGCATGTACGTCGGCGAGTGGTGCAAAGGCAAGACGAACGGGTGGGGAATTTTCAGCTGGCCGTCAGGGGCGATGTACGAAGGGAATTTCAAAAGTGGCTTCATGGACGGCGAGGGGACGTACACGGAGGCTAACGGGAGCGTGTACAAAGGCTCGTGGGTAATGAACCTAAAACACGGCCAAGGAATGAAGGAGTACACGAACGGCGACGTCTACGAGGGCCAATGGAGCCGCGGCCTACAGGTAAGAGTGGGCAAAAAATTCGAACCGAATCGCTGAATCGAATCGAATTTTCTGTTAACTAAGCCTAATTGAAAATTTTGGTTCGAATATCCCTTCAACCTACGTAAAATATTCACTTTTTTTTCATTTCGGTCCGTCCATATAATTTGTCCCTTTTTAAAAATAAAAAAAATCATTTTATACTCTAATCAGATTTTAAATTTCATAACTTATGCTAATTTTTTTAATTTTAATTAAATTATTTAGTTATGTTCATGTTAATCTATAATTATTTTTATTATGTAATAGTTATTTTTACTGATACACTTTTAGTTACTTACTAATTATACAGTTAAATTCTTATATCTACGGTAATGGTAGATGGAGTATTTGGTACTCTCTACGTTCCAAAATAATAATTCTATTTTGTAATTTTCGTTCGTCCAAAAATAAGTATGGGCATTTGGATCTTTTAAAAATACTTTTACCCCCACTGTTAATATAATATTATTATTCTTTAAATTTTGTGCTAATTCCAAATTTTTCTATTGTTTTGGGACGTAGTGAATATTTGATTGGTTCAACTTAGTTTCGGTTTTTAATAATTTTTTCGATTAACCGAAGTGAATTTATTATATTAATAATTATATTATATTAAGTTCGGTTTAGTTCAGTTTATATATTTTTAAATATGGTTCACAGGTTCAAGCACTTGTTTGATTCTGTTCGAATATCAAATACTTGTATATTTGCAAGTAATCGAACCGTGTCTACTCTATTTGCAGGAAGGCCAAGGGAAATACCAATGGAAGAACGGGACGTATTACACAGGCGAATGGAAGAACGGCAAGATGACGGGCGCCGGACAAATGCAATGGCTCAATGGGAACGTCTACGAGGGTGATTGGGAGGACGGCATCCCGAAGGGGCAAGGAACGTTCCGGTGGTTGGACGGGAGTTTTTACGTCGGGAATTGGAGCACGGAGCCGTCAGAGCAGAACGGAACGTACATCCCAAAGGGGTCGATGGAAGGGAACCTCGAATGGGATCCTCAAGAAGTGTTCACCAATGATTTGAAGGATTGCAAGGTTTGTCCGGCCGAGAAAGTCCCGATATGGCCGTCGCAGAAGAGGCTCGCCGTCTGGCGGTCGACGAAGGGGACGGACAACATGGCCAGGCCGCGGCGGCTGTCTGTAGACGGCAGGATCGAAGGAGGCGTCGACAAGGAGTTGAGGTTGTCTGATTGCGCCGCGCCGTCTTCGTGGAGCAGCAACTCCATCGAACGGAACGGGATCGACGGCGACGACACCTCTAGCACCCGGTCCGAACCGATTTCTCGTGGCACGCCAATAAAGATACCGAAGGTCGTCAAGAAACAAGGCGAGACTATTTCGAAAGGACACCGGAATTACGACCTTATGCTGAACTTGCAGCTCGGAATCAGGTAATTTTTTTCTTACCGGAGACTAGAGCCGCTAAACGAGCCGAGCCGAGCAAGCTCGAGTATCGGTTGTTTGAGCTCGACTCGAACTTATTAACGGTACAGACTCGGCTCGACTCGTTAAGAATTCAAACTAAAATAGTGGGTCTGAGTTCGGCTTGAAGTTTATACATATTATATATATTTGTTAATATATAAATTAAATATATTTGATTTTATTCATAATTTTTATATAATAATATATTCAAATTTTAATAATAAATATAAATTTTGATATAAAAAATATTATATATATATTATATTAATATATTTTCTCTCTGTCCTATTTTTAAGTATCATTTTCATCATTTTTCTCTGTTTTATTTCAAAATATTCATTTCCCTTTTTTTCTTTCTTTTTTTTTTTTTTATAAAAGTAATCATACACTAATAACAAAATACCCTAAACTTTTATTTAAATTACAAACATACCATTCATTTCGGCAAAAATGTCAAATCTTCTTACATTTTTACTAATTAATAAAATACTATTATTTTTTAATTTACTACAAAATCCTCTTTCAAAAGGGACTGAGGGAGTAAATAATATAAATATATTATCACTAACGAGTTCAATTGAATTACTAGCGAAAATCCTCTTTCAAAAGGGACAGAGGAAGTAAATAATATAAATATATTATCACTGAGTTAGTTACTTGCGAGCCGAGCTCGAGCTCGTTTATAATAATAAAAAAAAAAATCGAGCTCGGCTCGGCTCGATATTAGCTCGCGAGCTACTCGATTCGTTTAACAGCTCTACCGGAGACAATTCGATCGATCGTTAAGGCAAGATTACGCTGTCTTATCTTATTACATTATGTTCGTAGGCATTCGGTCGGAAGACCCGGCCCCCCTCCGTCGCTCGATTTGAAGCCGTCGGCGTTCGATCCTAAAGAGAAGTACTGGACAAAGTTCCCGACTGAGGGCTCGAAATACACTCCTCCCCATCAATCTTGCGAGTTCAAATGGAAAGATTACTGCCCGAAAGTTTTCCGGTAAGATTTCCACGACGAAATGGCGTCGAACACAATCACATTTTTCTTACTCACCGAATTGAAAATCGAGGTTTCATTACAGGACACTGAGGATGCTGTTTAAGGTCGATCCGGCGGATTACATGCTTTCGATATGTGGTAACGATGCCTTGCGCGAACTTTCTTCGCCCGGAAAAAGCGGGAGCTTCTTTTACTTGACGAACGACGATCGGTATATGATCAAGACGATGAAGAAAGCGGAGACAAAGGTGAGATTTTTTTTTTTGTAATAAATACTACATCCGTTCGGCTCTAAGGGTCTCATTTATTTTTTGTGTGTAAATATTTGAATATTAATTATTATATCAAAACGTAGTACAAATTAAAAAAAAAAATATAAAAATACTTTCATTAGTGTCTTTTAGTACAAAAATAATATTTTTAATGTTAAGTACAATGACGCAAAAGGTAAATGTGACCCTTAGAGGTTGGCGGAGGGAGTAAAAAGTTTTGCTCATTTTCGTCTCGACTATTTGTTAGGTTCTTTTAAGGATGTTGAGCGCGTACTACAACCATGTCCGAGCGTTCGACAACACTTTAGTGACAAAATACTATGGCTTGCACTGCGTAAAGTTGAACGGACAAAAGGTAAACTCAATCGAGTGAGGATCGAGTTATTTATTACATACGACAACGTTGTTGTTTATATGGTTTTACGCTGTTCATGTTTTTTTAAGGTTCGTTTCATTATAATGGGAAATCTATTTCGCACCGAGTACACGATCCACAGGAGGTACGATTTGAAAGGGTCGACGTTTGGGAGGCTTACGGACAAGCCGGAATCGGAGATAGATTCGAACACGACGCTTAAGGATCTCGACTTAAACTTTGTTTTCCGGCTGCAAAAAACATGGTACCAAGAATTTCGAAGGTGATTCGAACATGCCGTGCCCCGGTTTTGTCTTGTTCTTTTCCATTAATATGTCATTCTCTTACACGGTCTTGTTTTTGTCCGTGCAGACAAGTTGACAAAGATTGTGAGTTCCTCGAACAAGAACGTATCATGGACTATAGCCTTCTCGTCGGGCTTCATTTTACTGAAGCCTCGATCGATGAAACTCCCCCCGGCGCCCGAACACCCGTCGGTAATTTCTTAGGCCGACCCTCGGTAACATTTTTACATTCGTGTGAAAAAAAAAAAACTTCCTGTGTCATGAAAAAATAAGTTTATTTTTCTTTTTTGTCTGTCATAACATTAGAACATTTGGATCCGGTAAGGATATTTAAAAATTAAAATACTTAATTGAAAAAGTGATAAAAGTGAATAAGTGGTTTGAGGAATTTTTTTAATTTAGTTAGTAATTAATGATAATAAAAAGATAATCTAATAAATGTATTCACAATTATAGAAAAAATTGATTTTTCCAAATTAGTAATGGACTAATTTTAACATATGTGAAAATAAATTTTAAGAACAACTTAGGGAGTACTACTTTTCTATTTTTATTACTCCCTCCACTCATAAAGTATACAATTACTTTTGGCGCGGTGTTTAAGAAATAATAGTATTTTAATTACAGTGGGTAGTTAAAGGTAGTGTAATGACATTTTTGCCCTTGCTTTTTGGTGTAAAAGTAATGATGTGATGTAAAGTAAGGGTATTTGTGGAAAATAATAAGGTATTTAATGAAATATTTACTTTTTAATTGGACGTCCCAAAATAGAAATATGTATACTTTCTACTGGACGGAGGGAGTATTATTTTTCAGATGAGGTAATCATTTTAATATGAAACAGGGGATTTGATATTTAACTTATGATTCGGCGCATGTTTTTGAAATGCGACTTTTTTCCATTTTAGGTGACGACGGTACCTTGGATTCCGACTCAGTCACACGATTGTCGCGCGCGGATTTAGATCAATTGTTGATAGACCCTACAAGGTAAACTATACATGAAAAGAGTTTCGTTGTGTCTCACTTCTCGTCATTCTAATTGTTTTGTATCTGCGCATAATACAACTGAAGGGCATAGATCAATTGTTGATCCTATCAAGTCAGTATGGTGCTGATCGAGTACTGATTTGATAGGATCAGCGCAGCCATAAGTGAATGTTAACGTAAATATAAAATCATTAGAGCGACGGTGAAGAAGATATTAGACTATTTATATACAAGCCATTTAAATAACTAAAATGATTAAAATTATGTTTATATCTTAGTAAAATAGGGTATACTATTTCAAAGAGAGAGTGTATTTTTATAAAAAAATCGTAAATATTATTTAGTAAAAAAAAAAAAAAAAAAAAAGATGATAAGATAATTTATAAATTACTTTTACTTGGAGTTTAGTCTCAGTGTCTTTATTACGTAATTATTGCGATTTTATATAAAAATATACTATTTTTTATCTATTATTTAAATGCAAAACCCTTTCCACTCTCGTCAGCATGTTTGGTTTCAATTTTTTTATTATTATTTTGTGAAAAAAAATAGTTTTTCCTCTTTCCGCTATAATTATGTCGATTTTTTTTGTTAAATTTAATTCATTTATATTAAACAATTTTATTTACCTACAATTTTATTATCTTTATACTAGTACTAGTAATCAATTTGTCTCATTTTTTCTACTTATCACGTCACCTTTTTTTATCATCTCTTAAATAAATTTCTTATAATAGTTTCTCTTTACTTTATACTCACTCCATTTTTATATCAAAATATCACTATTTTTTAATCTTCATATTAAAGCAAAGTGGCATAATTAGCCTGAACGAAAGGAGTATATTTTTACAGAGAAAAACGTAAAAACTATATGGAAACCCGGGAAAAAAAAAAAAAAAATCTCAAATGACAGAGCCATAGACTCCATTTACTTAGAACTTAGATTTCAGTTTTTTACTACGTAACACTCACAATTGTTATAAAAATATTTAATTTTTTCTCACAAAATATCACACTCGAATAACTGTTTAAACCTAGCACAAAATCAAATGTTAAAATGAATAACCTATAAATTCTCATGTTTGTCTCGAAAATTTTTGTTGCTAACTTTTTCGAAAAAGCTTTAGGTGGTCGAGCATAAAACTCGGGATCAACATGCCGGCGAGAGTGGAAAGGACGGAGAGAGCGAAACTTCCCGACGGGGAGATCCAACTAGTGGGAGAGCCGACGGGAGAATGCTACGACGTGATAATGTTTTTTGGGATCATAGACATTCTTCAAGACTACGACATCACAAAGAAACTTGAACACGCGTATAAGTCCATCCAATACGACCCGAACTCCATTTCCGCCGTCGACCCTAAAATGTACTCGAAGCGCTTCCGCGACTACATTTTTAAGGCCTTTTCCGAAGACACTTGATACATAGACGTAGGTTGTCTTTTCCTTTCATTCTTTGTTGTAATGTTCAGACCGGCCGGGGAAGGCGCCGGCGTCGTCGACTATTCTTGACCGTTGGATCATCAATGGAGTAAGGTAGGGTGACAGCATTGGAACCACCCTATATAGTCATTCTTTCAATTTTTTATTTTTTATTTTTTTTATTTTATTTGTAGGATACTTACAACTTGGATATATATAGCCATTTGTTTGTTGTAGGAAATTCAAAATTGAAATTGAAATGTACACTTTTGTAGGGGTGTTTTTGTTACCAACTTTTTTATAGATAATTTAACTATATGAATTGTTTTCATTGTTGAATCTTGATTTTTATTTTGCTTTTATGGGTCATTGGTTTTTACAAAAGTATTACTACCTCCGTCCCATCTTGGTCACTGTAGACACGAAAATTTAGGATAAATATAATTAGTAGATAATTAAGAATGTATTAGTAAAAATAATTAATTTATAACATAAATTATTATAGATTAAGATTAAAATAAGTAATTAGTTTAATTAAAAATTTAAAAAATTTAAATTAGAAAATTTAAAAGAAGATTAAAATGGGTAATCATTTTCCAAAAAAGGAAAGTGACATGAGATGTGGGATGAACAGAAACGACAACATGAACATGGTAAGTGGGAAGGACGGAATAATATTTTTTTTTGTTTGGTATTAATATTTTTTGCATATAACTTTTAGAGGATTTATATATTTGTTGTACAATAGAGGAATGAATATACAATTTTGTCCTTATGAATGACTTATAAATGTAACTAAATTATCACGATGACACCGTTGTAATATTTGGTAAGATGTAAGAGTTTTTTTTATAATATTTGAAGGGTCTATAATTACGAAATAAAATGAATAGATTGACCACTACAAGAAAAAATTATTTTTGTAACAAAATTTTTTTTTGTCTTTAAATCTACTTTTTCCGTTACTAATGACATTAGAGACGGAATTATGAACGAAATTACGTTAGCTACGTGAACTTTAGGGACGAAATTCCGTTACAAATATATTATTTTTTTGTAGTGGACGTCACACAGATCAAAATAACAAAATAATTAGATTGATTTTAGACAAATGGTTTTCTTTTTTATATATACATATTTTGTCTCACTTAAATAGACAAATTTTGTATCTCTCATATAAATAGTGTATTTCTATTTATAGTCTATTTTAGATCAATTTATCATCACATATTGTATATTAATTTATTGCGTGAAACCCCCTTGTTAATGTAAAGTTTGCACGAAACACCCTTTTTGTTTAAAACTGATATTTAGTTATAAATAAATACCTAAATTACGCAAGTTTATACAAATAAAAAAGGCAAAATATCTTAAATAATTTTTTTGCATTAAATAAATAAATAAATAATTTATTAATCTTTCATTTTATAGTTTTTGGAGACATTGTTATCTGATTTTTATAAAAATTATAAAAATAAATGATTGATCAATTATTTATTTATTTATTTTATTCAAAAAAATTATTTAAGATATTTTACATTTTTTATTTGTATAAAACTTACATAATTTAGGTCTTTATTTCGAACCAAACATCAGTTTTTTACAAGGAGTGTGTTTCATGCAAATTTTCCATTAACACAAGGGATTTCACACAATAAATAAAACATAGGGTATTTTGTACATTTTTGCTAAAATACAAGGGGATGTTATATGATTTACCCGAAAAAAATTGAGATAAGAGTATAGTTGGCATAAATAAATACAGACAAAAAAAAAATAATCCAAACACAATAAAAAAGGATTTGGATTAAAATTTAGACCCAAGAATTTTGGGCCGGGCCAACCTTAGCACATTTGAAAAACCATTGGGCCATGTTGGGCCAGTTTTGATTTAACAAAAAAGAAATTAGTCCACCAAATATATATGTTTATTTGGATTCCACGTTTTGGGTAAATTTCCGAGGATTTGAGCCAATGACTTTTCATTTACGAGTCGACCATCAGATCATTCTTTGCGGGATAAAATATGAATTTTTTTATTTTTCTAATCAAAAACAAAATATGAATATTTTGAAAATATATGAATGAGCTAATGATGTAAAAAAAATAAAATTTATAAACTAAGTGTATAAATAGTTATGATATTTTTTTAAAAATAAATATAAAGGTTGAAGAGTATAAATTAAAGGGTAAGAATTACTTGTTATAAATAATATATATATTTTATGAATAAATAAAAATACATAGATTTAGTAGACATATAATAAAATTTAATTTTATTTACATATGTAATACTTAAATTCATAATTATAAATAAAAAAATATTATTTACCGTAATTAAATTTATTTAGATTAATAGTACTTCCTCCCTCCCAATTCAACAGGGTTTTCTGGGGTTGTAGTAGATTAAGAAATAATATTATTTTATTAAGATTTTGATATTTTGTTCTTAATAATTGTATATGTAATAATATATTTGTAATTTAAATAAAAATTAAAGATATTTTGATATTAATATATAATTTTTTTTATAATAAACATACTTTGAAATGAAACAAATAAAAATTATAAAATAGTAATTTAAATTGAGAATTTATTTTTCAATAAACAATTATGTAAAATATAACTATAACTAAAATTTCTAAAAGATTAGGCTGGCTTGGCCCGATTTGAAATCGGGCCTTTCTTAGGCCTTCATTTTCAGACAGGCCCGGGCCTGTCCCAAACTAAAAAAAAACAAACGGATCGATTCATAATTAACACCGCCATATTAAAGGGATTATATAACCTGGCGCTGAACTCCCGGGACCTACTGAAAATTTTAAACACTACTTTAATGCAAAAGTACAAATCAAATGTCAGTATCTATAAATATATTCTAACGTCTGATTCTCAATTACCGGATCAAACGGCTGAGCACCGGCTATCGCCCGTAAACAAATAAGATAATTAAATTAAAAATAAGTAAATAAATAATAGAAACCGGCAGCTGCCGGTGGAGTCAATGGCCTTACGAAAGCATTGGGCAGAAGTGAGGTGAATCTCATATGTTGCTGTCACTCCATTTGCATTAAATTATATATTCACCTCATCATTTATATAGAATTCATTTAAGGGCGTGTTTTTTTGGTTATTTGAATTTTGAGTTGGGATTTAAATAATCTTTTCATTCCGGTGCAAGGTTATCATTTACTTTTTGTACGTATATTTTTTAATATTAATATTATATTTGATTTTAGTAAAAAGACAAAAAATACTCCTATTAGTATAGTGTAATATAAAAGTAATGACATTTGTGTAATATAGTCTAAGTTGAAAAAGTATTTATTATGTTAGGTAGGTAGTACAATTATTAAATTAGGAAATGATAATCTAGTTTTGGAATTGACCAAAATAGAAAATGACAATCTTTCAATGGGACGGAGTGAGTACTAAAAATTTTGAATTAAAATAGTTGTATGATGTAATATAAATAAGTATTGATGTGATATTTTGAATGTAAAATTAATTTTTAATATAATATTCCCTTGGTCTCATATCTATCTATCAACTTGTTTTTTGCACGAAGTTTTAGAAATTAATCTTATTAGTATTGTATGATGTAAAAGTAATGACATTTGTGTAATATATTGTAAATTGGAAAGATATTTGTAATGTTAGATAGATAGTACAGTTACTAAAAAAAATAAAATGAATATTTTGTTATGGGACGGACCAAAATAGAAAAATAGATAGATTGTTAAGGGTCATAAAGGGTATAAAAAATAAAAAATATGTATTTGATTTAATTTTCTAGGTGAAAAAATATTGAATAATAAAAATGGTGAAAAGTTTGACAAACAAACACATCCTTATTTTATAATAGTTTTTCAATATTGTTTACATTTTGTAAATAGTTTTTTTAATAATATTATATTAGTATGTAGTAAAAATAATAATAATAATAATAATAATAACTCTCTCTATTAATATTATATAACAGTATAAAAGTAGTTGTATTTATATATAAATTATAAATGTATTTATTATATTAGATATAGATAATACAATTAATAAATTAGAAAAATAGACACTTATCTTGGGACAAATGGAAACGGAAAATGATATTCTTTTTTGATTAATACAATCTCCTTTTCCGATATAACGTTATGATTACTGTAAATATGAAAATTTAGGAGGTATATGGTTAATAAATAATTTAAAATATATTAAGAAAATTAATTATAATATAATTCATATAATTTTATATTTAAAATTAAGACAATTAATTAATATAATTACAATTAAAAAATATATAAATTATAAATTTTTAAATGAATATTTTATAATATATAATTCTTAAAAAAACTCGAAAATGACCAAATGTGGGATGTAAATAAAGTGTAATATTATACGTACAACAGAATGAGTTATAAAGAATATTCTATTTCCAGTATAATTATGTTATATATATTTTTTTTTTATCTGTCTATTAAACTTATAAACACTTTATTTATAGTAGAAAAGATATTGCCCACAATTTTATTATATTTATTTTAATAAATAATATTCTCTCCGTCTCAAAATTATAATCTAGGTTATGTTTGACACGGAATTTAAGAAATATTAATATTATATCGATAGTGGGTAAAAAGTATGGGTAAAAGATTTTTTTGTTCTTGTGAGTGTATTAGTGTAAAAATTAGTGGTAATTGTGTAATAATAATGAAAAAGTAAGGGTTGTTTTACAGTGATATAGTTATTTATGAAAATGAGACTATTGTTTTGGAACCGATAAAAATGGTAAACAAGACTACTGTATTAGGACGGAGGGTGTAACTAATTTTTTATTATTTTTTTCTAATGATCACATCTAGGGATTAGCAAAATATTCGAAATCTAAAAATTCGATCCAAACGAAACCGAAATTTAAAATTTGGTTCGGATTTTTCGGATTGGTTCGGATTGAATTTTTGACAATTTTTGGATTTTCGGATCAAATCGGATAGGTATACTTAAAATCCGAACTAATCCGAAATATAACATTTTAATATATTTTTTTTATTATATATATTTAATATTTTATTAGAAAATATTATATTTTAATATAAAAAAACTCAAAATTATTAATTATATTTGAATATATTTACTTATATATATTATATATATTTAATATTATAAAATAATAATAAAATATAAAAGAAATTTACAAATTAAATAAATAATTAAAAATATTTAGAATTTCGGATTTTTCGATTTGGTTCGGATTTTTTAGTTCGAATTTTAGATTTTCGGATTTCGGTTATTTTGGTTCGGTTCGTATTAATTTTTTTTTAAATTTCGGATTTTCGG